ATGTGAGCTCTTCAACAAAAATGAAACAAACTAGGTGTCTGTGACTTCTATTTAGTTACTGCTGATCGGTATATAGGTCTTGTTTGGGGGTAGCAAGGGGGCTTTTGTCCTCTTTGGACATAAATATATTCAGTGCACTAACAATTCTGTACATTCAAACTTGATTATTTTAAATTTGATTTCCAGTTGTACTGTAAATAGGGTCTTTCATTGTCCATATGTTTATTATTTTTCTGTAATATTTAAGAGTTTCTTAAAAGTATCCAAAACGTACAGTTGCTAAAACAGATAATTATTTCTTCCTCCTTTGAAAGGAAGGTGCTTCAGTTGTTCCTCAGAGCTAGATCCATAATAAACAATGTACTTGCAATTTGTAACATAAATATTGCAACGTTAGTAACAATCTTGCAACCTTGTTTTTCAACGTCCATTTTATTTTGATCAGTCCAGTATATTGCACTAATTATTTTAGATCTTTTCATTATATAAAATCTACCATGTGTCAGAGATGATTTAATCTATTTAAGTGCTGACCTGCTAGCAGAACTTGTACATTTTATAGAAATTCAGAATTAGTAAGGAAAACAGTTCACCAGTGTTTAGTTTTATATTGAAGTGCTCAGATTGGAATAGAGTGACATAAAAAGGAAAAAAAAGAAAAGAAAAAAAAAGAAAATCTCTGTTTCCTGGTGGCTTTCCTCCACCACACACACACCTTTGCTATCACGTCCTGCCTTACTTCCGGGCCAGAGGAGTGGAGTCAGCCATGTATAAACTGAGACTTCTGAAACTGTGAGCCCCAAATAAACTTTTCCTCCTCTAAAAATTGTTCTTGTCAGGTCTTGTGGTCACAGCAGCAAAAAAGCTGACTAAAACACCAATGAAATTTCCATCTCCAAGAAGGCCCATGAGACCTCTGATGGAGTGAAGAGAGGCATCTGAGATCTTCCTCTAGTGTGTTGAGCACACATCAGATTTGAAGCTCTTGTCTCATTTTAGCTACTAACTCATGAAATGACCATGAACACTGTGTTGTGTAATCATAGTTCTCTTATATGCAGAATGGGCAAAACTAGTGGTTGTAAGCAGGAAGCCAGGCTAAATGACTTCTTATGGCCCCTTCCAGCTCTGGGATGTATGACTCTGGAAAACAATGAAGTTGTAGTATTTGACTTTTGTCCTTTATTTTGCCTTTTTAAAGTTTCACTTTACTTTTAATTGACACATAAGAGTTGTATATATTTACAGGGTACAGCATGATGTTTCAATACATGTATATATTGTATAATTTAAATCAGGGTAACTAGCACATCTATCACCTCAAACATTTCTTTCAAATGTCCAAAACTAGGGCTGGCGTTGTGGTTCAGTGCAGAGCGCTTGCCTAGCATGTGTGGGGCACTGGGTTCGATTCTCAGCACCATATATAAACAAATAAATTAATAAAAGTCCATCAATAACTAATAAAAATTTTAAAACAAAAAATGTCTAAAACTACATGTACATTTTTTTTTTCTGTAACAAAAGAATCAAAGCAGCCACAGAGGTGTATAGGGTGAAGAATAAGCTGGGAAAACTCTATTGACTATCATGGGGCCCTGAATTTGTAGTCATTAGGGAGAGAGGCCCTCATAAAGAAAGGCCCTAAAGACACAAGAGGGGACAAGTATTTGGAGAACCAGAATTAGAAATAATATGGTAGGAGTCAATCTGAGAAGTGAGGAGAATAGCCTTCATGGGAGGAAACCTAACTTGTAGTCAAAACAATGGCTGTGAGGTCAGACAATCTGAATTCCAAGCCAACCTCCCTGCTTCCTAGCTACAACCTTGAAAAGGTTATTTTTCTGAGCCACAATGTCCTTCTTTGTCAAGCATGGGTAACACTAGCACCTTCCTCAGGACTAAATAAAATAATGTGTAGTACAGTGGCCAACACGTACTTAGCATTCAGTACATCGTTGCTACCATTTTGCTGTCATCAAGACTTGAAGTTCTCCACAGGTATCCATGAGCTGATTTGTTCTCCTGGGTCTGTGGCACTGGGATGTGTAGCTCTTCTTTTGAAATTAAAATATCTTCATTTCTGGACTGTGATTGTGACTAAGTGGTAGAGCACTTTCCAAGCATGTGCAAAGCCCTGGGTTCAATACCCAGCACAGGAAGGAAGGAAGGAAGGAAAAGAAAGAACATGTGGGCTCTGGAAAAGAAAGAACGAACATATGGGCTCTGGAATCCATGCAGGATCTGGCCCAGGTTTTAATCAGTAAACTGTAGGAAAGTAACATAACCACCCTGAGCTAGAGTTCACTCACTTATAATGTGGGAATAGAAACCTACTTCATAGATTATGGTGAGGTTCTAATGAGAAGATAAATGCTAAAAAAATCTAGAAAAAACAACCTTGCATGTAGTAAACACTCAATGGGCACCAGCCTTTGGCTGGGTGACCAGCTTAACAAAGGACACTTGGCATACTATTTGTCCTTTATGAGATCAGCCTAAGGGTGTGAGAACATGAATTATATGTCCTGCATACATGACTGCTGTCTTGGTTTGGGAATAAGTGACATCCACAATGGGCATGGAAGATGGAAGTCCACAGTCAATATGGGAAGAAGATATATGAGGTTCTGCCCAGGAGATGAAGAGATAGTCACTTCAGTTATCACAATTGGCAATTTCCATAACTCTTTTCTCTATTCTTCCTCCTTTTCTTCCCTTCCTTCCTCCTTCCCTCCATCCATCCATCTCCCTCTCCAATGGGAGTTCATTGTGGTAGACCATTTAAGAGGAAGTGTGTTAACTCCACTTGTGGACACAATGCTCCTTCAACCCTAAATATTGGTCCTTTTATGAAATTTCTCATTTGGGCTCTTAGATAGAAGACAACTATTCTAAGAGTGGCAGTAGATATCCTGATGGGACAAAAGCACTGCAGTCTCCTCTATTCCCATGACTCTGTTAAATATCCCCATAATGTACTTCTAAAGTTCAAGATAACAAACTGGATGTAGGGAAAGTGGGATATTTCAAGACTTAATTATGCTGCACTTATGGAATCCATAAATTGTTGATGTTGACTTCATGGAAGGTAAACAGTATTACGGAAAGAGGTATAATTTGGGGAGCTCTACTTGAATAAATGGAGCAAAATTTTTTTTTTCAGGATTTTCTATTGCACCAATGACATTTGGCAACACATGTGTACGAGTAGACAGGAAACAAGAATGGCCAGTTAATGTGCATGTAGGTTGAAATGTGGATATTAACAACCAAAAAAATTGGAAAGGATGGGAGCAGGGGGCTAAACTCTATGGAGGCAGAGTTTCTTGACTAGGCCATAGCTCTATGTTGAGCTGACCACAGACAGTTCTGGCTAGGAAGTTTCTGCATTACCTGAAAGAAGTCAATACAAGCAGTATTGACACCAGCCCCTCCCAGGAGTGAAAAAATCATTAGTTATGAAGGGGAAGTTTCAACTTGGGGAAGCCTATAGGCTTAGGGCATTTTTACTCTCCTTCTGTTGTTAAAATATCATATTGTGACTGAGAGTACATCCTAGAGAGGCATATTTGATTCTGGAAAACTCAAAGGAGCCAGAGTGAATCCCAGAGGACAAGAAGCAGAAAGCACTAGGTTTAGTTCTATTCAATGCCTAAGGAACAACTGCAAATAGGACCTTCTTAGGTGGCTCAATCTGGAGAGAAAGTTATGCAGGCATTCTAGAAGGAAGATCTCTCCTGGATGGAAGCTTCTGATTTGGTTTGAGTGGGTTTTATCTCATGAGAACCAGGAAGTGGCAACCCTGGCACAGAAGGGTACAGTTCAACAGCCAAGCATTTCCTCTGGGGCCTAGTTGGGCAGGAGTTCTGATTTTTATTGATAACCTCAAAGATTCTGTTATACAGAACAAGCTCAATTCAAAGTGAAATTCTGTATCATTTTTTTGAGATTATATTTTGCATGTTGACCAGGTTGGCCTCCCACTTAAAATCCTCCTGCCTTGGCCTCCTGAGTAGCTGGGATTACAGGCATGCACCAATGCACCTGGGCTTATTGCTTCATTTTTGTCTCATTTCTATGTCCTTTTTCCTTTAATCATAAAAGGGAACTTGTATAAGCCAACAAAGACATGAGACAAAAATAAGCACTGATTGGATGTTGCCAAATCTCTCTTATGGGGGTCAGTTGTGTCAATATTGCTCATCATTCTGATCAATTTTACCACTTTTCCTGTAAAGAGGTTCATGTTGGGCTGGGGATGCAGCTCAGTGGTAGAGTGCTTGCCTAGCATGTGAGGCCCTGGATTCATCCCCAGTATGTTATGGGGGGGGGGGGACCCTTGACTTTAAATAATTAAAATAAAAACATGTAGCTTGTACTCATAAACATTTTATAACACTAAAGAAAACAGTGGGTAGTGTGCTCTGCTTTAAACAAACACAATATATGTTTGGGTTCACAAATAAACTAAGGGCAAATTATTGAAAAAAATTATTGAAAAAAAATACTTCTGGGGCTGGGGTTGTGGCTCAGTGGTAGAGCACTCACCTAGCATGTGCGAGACCCTGGGTTCGATCCTTAAACAACAACAAAAAAAAGGTATTGTGTACAATTAAAAAATAAAATATGAAAAATACTTCAACATAATTCTTCATATGACAAGCTTTTTTTAAAAAAAACAATTTATGGCCAATGTTTCATAGTATATGTCACATTAATCTGTTAATATCTACGTCACTGCCACATACAGAAGAGCTTATCTGAATGCAGGTCTGTTTCCTTAAAGGCTCTTTTTTATTGAAGTGCTGGGACTAGAATCTAGGGCTCACGCAGGCCAAGTACTGTACTACCAAGCTATACCCACAGCTCCTTAAAGGATCTTCCAGTGAAATGTATTACACCCATTTCCTCTCTATTCAGCTTCCAAGAAAATGACAGTGAAGCTAATTGGGTAATTCTTTTCCTAAGGTGTGAGCACAATTTTGTTAGATAGAAAGTGAGACAATAGGAAACCTTTTTTAATGAATAAACAACTTTCACAGAGACTATCTATGTCACATTGCTATTACAACACAAATGAGCTGAAACTTTTTTGTACAGATTTGGAAGAAGGGAACCCCTAAAAAGAAATCAAGCATATAGAGGTAGTAGAATAGCAATGAGGGGGGGATCATTGTCTTAATTTCCCTTCAATTTATTACAGTGCAAGAGTAAAACGGCTGTTTAACAAACAAATGGAAATCAAACACACATACATGTTTGCCACTATTTTAATCCTGGCATTACTGAGAACTGCACACAACAATGGAACTACTTAATCTAAGATAAGCCAATGGTGCCACACTGAACTTTTTGCTCTCCTTTTATTTTGTTGTGGTTTATTGTCATTGCAACAATAAATGAATGTTAATTGACTTTTAAAACGACGAATACGCTACAGTATTGCTTTGTAAACTTCTGTTCATCACATTTGCTGCAAAAAGTTTTTAAAGGACTACAGAGTCATAAAGCAAAAGCTTTAAAGTGATACCAGGAACAGAGATCACAGGCACTTCTCTCTGGAGGTTAATTTAGCATGTTTGGAAATGCCCACTTGTAAGTGAAAATTTCTTCATTTTACCTCTGGATGTGCATAATCCAGATTATTAACCAGTTAAACATGGAACAAGATGAGCTATCATTCTGAAATGAACTGAACGTGTGCATTTTACATGGCTCCTTTTCCTTCCCTCTCTCTGCACTCAGAAAGGGGCATAAAGTGAAGTTCATGCAGCTGGCTGCTTTTCACAACTGTCTTCAATCATGAATCAAAACCTCATTCCTCAGGCCGCTGGGCTGAAAACCTGCCCTTTTCCAGTACTCTGGCTGCCTTTCATTCACATCTTTGTCACACAACTCTGCTATGACTCTGCCTTGGTGAGTGGAAATGGATGTGAAGTCAAGGTCAACAATTGGGGACTCAAGCAAGGAGTCCCTGAATAAAACTCTCACCTTGGAAATGGAAGTGGCATGAGGAACACAGTCCCCGGTGGATTATAGTCCATCAATAGTATGCAATCTGTTGATGGCAAGAGACCTCTGGGTGCTGTGAACCAGCCTCAGGAGTTTTACCACTCCAATGGCCAGTCACAGGGGATTATCTGAGCCTAGGCCAGCTTCATAGTTAGAGCTGGAATCGCCACATACACAGTGACGTGACTTGACCCTGCTATTAAAGCAGCATTGGCCTAGAGCAGTCAGCTGTTAAAATAGTCAATTCTCCGCTCCCCTAAGTCAGGGGAAAGCACTCTTCTCTAGTTGTCTACAAAAAATTAGTTTCTTCCTTTTTCATTTTCTACATTTTGCTGGTTATTAGCTAGCAGCAGTATTATGGTACAAAGCAGAAAGACATGGTGTCTGCTTGCTACCTAGTATACATATATGTATGTGTGTATAGGTACACACAGAGACAGACAGAAAGACATAAAATAACCTACTAGGAAAAGACTGGGTCAGTCAATACAGACAGAAAAACTAACCCAACAAGTGGCACTATCTACCAAGGGGGAACTCTTTATCCTTCTAGCCTAGATTTAACCTTATGTCTTTTCTATATATACACCTCATTCTCTGGCTTGGCAGCAAGACCAATTTACAAAGAGTAAAAATGGTCAAGTCTAACTGATTACCCTGTTCAAGTATGTCTCAAATAAAGCCAAGGACTATGTTTCACTAGCCTTAAGAAACATAAGCTTACTGTGGAACAACTTAACTGTGTATCTACAACTACTGAAAGTAAAGTGCAATTCTACCTAGCCAAGATCTTCATGTGTTGGAGTTGGGTACTCCCTTATCAAGAGGCATTCTAAGGTATGGAATTTCATGTTCTATGATATGGAATCATAAGAAATCTACTTCCTTCTTGACTTGGATTAATCAGAGATGTTTTAGGTAACTTCATTTTACTGGCAACCTTCCATTGTGAGCTTTTGGGGTGCTTTTGTGATGTGCCTGCCATGCCTGTTAAATAATATTATGTATAACACAAACTATTAAATATGTTTGTCTGCAAAGTTCAAAATCAAGAATGGTTACTTGCTGGATGACCATATTATCTGGGCAAAGTATTTAATATTGCTGAGCTTCAGTTTTCTCATCCATAATATGGAGATAATAACTGCTCTGAGAAAAAAAAATGATATAATGAGCTAATATAAGTGACATCACCTGGGTTAGTACCCAGTACATCATAGGCTTCCAATGCATTTTTGTTGAATCTGTTATTTTGGACGGCATAAAAAAAATACCATGAACTAAGTACACAAGTCATAGATTGTAAAATCCAATCACCCTGTAATGGGTGAGTTTCTGGAGAACAAGGAGTGATGACTTGGTTATTATAATGGAGCAACAACTTAAGGATTCCATCCCATCCAAAATTCTAGACCTTCAAGCAACATTAATTTTTAGCTCTTATGGAAATGAGAAAATGTTTGCTGGTCTATGTTAGTCCCTGTCTCTGACCCTCATTTGTTCTCCAGTCTTTTCACTTTCCAAAACAGACTTAACACCGAAAGAAATTAGCTGCAAACCATCAAGTTATGGTGCAAAAATCAGTAGTGCAAATTCCACCAAGCTTATAGGTATTGCAAGTGGGCAGTGCATGTAAAGGCAGTGTTCTATGCAAATGTAGGCCTTCGATGACATTTTGTAACTATAACATATCTAATAAAGCTATGACTTGTTGAATGTCCCCCCTTGTGAAGGCACTGTGCTGTGTGACTTTTGAAATATCACATTTAATGTTTATAACAACTGTTCATAACAGTATTTATCATCACCATTTCATAGATGAGGAAACTGGGGCTCAGTCAAAGTTAAATCACTTACCAAAGTAACATATCTGGTATATGGGGAACCATATGACCTTTTTCTTTATTGTGTTTACACTAGATAATAGGAAACTACAGTACTAGGACCATGTTATGACCACTTGGTTGGGCATCAGATGGGAGGGAAGAGCCTCTAATTTCTTGCTGCCTGAGACTTAAAGAATCTGATTGAGCAATTAACTATGCCTTTATTCCATTCTATCTATATATTCTTCACCAGCCCAGTCTACCCCAAACTTCAAATCTGGTAACATAATGCTCTGACAACTCCATTAATCAAGTGCAGAAAAACATTTGGTCTCTGCTTACACAAGTCTCTGGATCATTTCATTCTCCCTTTCCTATTTATGGCCATGGGTGGTGATAGAAGTCCTAGTGTCTTGAGCATGACCTTCTAACCTTAACAGAGTAGGCAGACATGGCTCCTTTTCCTTCCCTCTCTCTACACCAGGAAGAGGCACGAAGTGAAGCTAATGCAGGTGGCTGCTTTTCACAACTGTGAATAATGCACCACAGCTATCCAAAATCACATAGATGAGACAACTTGCCTGAAGGTATGAATGCAACAACTTCCTTCCTCCCAGCCTAATCTTTTCACTCTGTCATGATAGTCCCATACTCATGATATTACTTCAGGTTCTTCTGATACCAAGGAATCAAACTAGTGTTAAAGAAGCTGAACAATGCTTACTCCTACCTCCTCAACCCTTCTTCCCCACCCCCAATTGAAAACTGTGGCCCACTGTAACTAGGAAAAATGACAGTGTTTAGACAATGACATCATGGATTGTCTGGCTCTTTAGGATTCTACCCCATCTGGTTTCTTTACATTTTTAATATTGAATAGTCCTTCATCAAGTATTTCAGCACATTCTAGCCCATTGTCTTGATCCTCAGAACCTTGAAAAGGGGTGGGGTATGTAGGATAGTGGGGGATGGCTGTAATATGCCAAACTGAATGCCATTTCCTCTAAAGGGTTAAATATTATCTTGCCTAAAATCCCATTCCTGACTGCACTGGGAAAAATATACTTCTAATCAGATTGCTGAAAAAAAAAATGCCCATAATAGATTATCATAAAAGACATTCCTGTGATTCATGTCTTTATTCTGGAACAATAATTCTTTCAGCCCTGTTCTGTATGACACATAGAAATTGGATTTTTAACTATAACCTGGCATCTACCATAATCTTTGCTAAATCACTTAGCTATTTTATGTTGTTTATTTCAAACTGGAAAAATGGATTCTATGAAAATAGATGACCTTAGCATCATTTGGAAATTCTTTTAAACATCCACCAGGATAGATAGAAAGTCCCCAAATTGGGATCAATGTAGTAAAAACTGATTAAAGGAAAAAAAAAATGTGCATTTCTAGTATTGTTATTCCCCCAAGGTACATGGTAAACTACATCAATAAATAAAGCAATGGACTTTTCAGTAATGTACACTTAAATAGTTACAAACACACATGTAGAAAAAAGGATACAGTAGTGCAAAAAATAAATTATTAAAACAGACAGAAGTATGAACATTATTTTACACAATGCTCTATAAAACCTGAACCATTTGGAATGAGACCTCAAGTCAGTGAGATAATGCAGCAACGTGATTCATTATTAGTATCTTTGCTTCACATTTCAATCACATAGTTATTCATCTATGAAAGACAAATTAAAGCAAAATTGTCTTAAACTTTCAGGAAAAAAAATTTTTGTTAAAATCAATTTTTCCTGGGTTCTTAAACACCTCTGCTATTTATGTAGTTATGCAGCATTTCAAGAAGCATCTTAAGACAGAAAGTTCCAAACAGGTCACATTCTTTTGGTCTTTCTACTTGATTTAATTGTCTGTGTGATCAAAAGCAGAGTAATGCCTCTGTTTGCTTGATACCCCCCTTCTGTTAAGATGTTATTGCAATTAGAAATATTTACAAGAAGACTTCCCCAAGGCAATGGGGAGGGTGGGAGTTCCTCTTCAACGATCCAATCTTGCTAGTTTTGGTTTCGGGATATAAAGGCCAGGACTCGCCGAATACCGTTCAATCTATCTTTTAAAGACCTCATTGCTAGGAATGGGAGCTGAGCGCGGCTTTCCAAGGGAAGAACAGCTAATGTCCACCAACACCAGGCAGGACCATTTGGGTTGATCTGCAACAGAGAAACACAATGGGATCATCTTATTCCCTGCAAGCCATATGGGTCTACAGATTTTCAAATGTCCAAAATAAACAATCCAGGTAGAACTGCTTCTGTGTGTGTGGTCGAGACTGGTAACTGCCTCCATATTTATTTCCTCTTTATTTTAGCTGAATATATAGCTGCCTAGGCGGTAGTGGAGAGGCACTGCATTTCTCAGCCTCCCTTATAGCTAGGTGAGGCCATAAGACAAAGTTCTGGCTAATGGGGTATAAAGGGAAGTGTTATGTATGGTGTTTGGGTCATACTCTAAGGAAAGAAGCATGTGCCCTCTTCTTCCCTCTTTCTCCTGGCTTTCCTCTAGCTACACAATGAACATGATGATGATTTTTTAAATTTTCTTAATCAAAAAGGCAAAAACAACATTCTAAGGATGGTAGGCCTTTGTGATGGAGTCTGGATCCTGAATGGTCTCATGGAATAGAGCTACCCTAGCCCTCCAAGACTCAGACCCTCTATTCCATTGGAGCTAGATTTATTTTGAGTACTTGTTAAAGCAGACAAGCCAACACCCCATGCCTTCTAGCCAGTGTGATGTCATGAGCTGGAATATCCCTATTTAGGCCCTTCTACTTTTAAGATCCTGTTTAGGTCCTTTGGACTTTGTAGGTCTTTAATTCCCATGACTCCACAGGCTTTATAGGTGTTGTAACTCCTTCCATTTTCTTATTCTGGCTGAAGGCAATAGTCTAGCTATGCCAAGTCACTATACAGGGCCACAGCTATCTTCTCCCCTAAAACCAAGGGCATGATTTACAGTTTCAAAGAACAGCAATCCCATTTTGCAAAAATTCCAATTAAAAACACATTCATATTAACCTTCATATTTCTCCATGTTTCTCTTAAATAAAGAGCTTTCTTGTCCCATCTATATTCTTCACCAAAATTCTGTCTGTAATCAGTTTCCCCAGTACATTTTAAACATTGGCAACTTATTTCTTATGAAACTCAAAATGAGTTTTCTTTCTAGAACTTTCAGGAAATTGGTTTTAGTAACTAACTATGGAGAACTACATTCTAGCCAAACTCCTTACACCTGTAATTATTTAGCTCCAAATTGGATCAACTGATTCTCCCCAAATCTCACTGCCCTCTTTACTTCTCTGTCTCTAGCTTCACCTGGATTCTTTTTTTTGTCCCTCACTGCAGTCTGCAACATGATCTCCCTCCTATAATCATTTTGCATATTAGATTGACATTCAGAATTCTTTCCCAGGATCATCAACAAAGATATTGAAGCTGATGTTAATCTTTGTGGCAGTTTCTAGGAAACCTCCTCCTGGAGCTAAGAACAATCATTCATAGGGCTGCTGGGCTGCAGCACTGGCTAGCAAACTGGATGGACTTTTGGTTTTTGCTGGTGCTGCCATTGACAAAGCAACATGATAACAAAACTAAAAAGAAAAGAAACAAAACCCAAAATTTCAGCTTTCTGTGTCATTAAGTTCTTATAAATAATACTGTATTTTTTCCTGTGGAAGATGCAGTAAGCACTGCTGATCTCTATCTTCTGCCTGACTCGGGGAGAATGTGTCCCAGAAGATGAAGGGGAGCGTCAAGATTGATCATGGAGCTTGCTCAGAGCTCTGCTGTAATCCTGAGTCACCATGGCCCAGAGCCAGAAGCTGGGTCACTGGGAAGCACTTTCTGGCCCTTCTCCCTTCAAACTCACAATGCCTTCGTATGAAGGAAAGGAGCCATCTTTGTGGTCTGAGGAAAGCAAAATATATCAGCCCATAAGGAAGCAAGACAGATGTCTTAGAGCATCAGAATGCAAGAGGAAGAGGAGACATTAGAGACCTCCTCATATAACTCTCTCACTTCAGAGAAAAGCTGAGAAAGGGGAAGGGATTTAACCAAGGTCACACTGCTAGAAAGGTAAACAGGATCAGTCATTTGGCAGAGAAACCAGAATATAGATATTCAAAATATTCATATTTTTTTTGCTGTGTCAAGAATGAACCTAAGTAATGAATCAAAGAACTTACAGGAGTGAAAAGATGGTGGTAAGGAAATATTTGGTTAGGATATCTCCAGCCTTGTCCTAGGAAGGAAGCATTCCTAGAACTGGAATTCTCTGAAAGTACTCCTTGATTTATACCAGGCAGGCAAAGAAACTACTTTCTCCTCTTTCCTAGTGGGCTTTCGATCTTCAGCTTGATCTTGTAAATGGACCTGTCCCTCAAGGTAGAAGACCGATATAATAGGACCTAATCAACTATTTTCTGGTATGACTCAAATGAGGGTAACTTTAACGATGGGGTCAGTTTTCTTAGGACCTGTTTGCTCTGATGAGGACAACAGTGAATGTCTAGATTTGCAGGACTAAGTATGGATCAGCATGGGCATGAAAAGTTCTTGTGGCCTTGCAATTAGAATCTTGGAGGGTAACTGGCCCTATCTCCAAGCTCCTGCATTAATAGAGGAGAAGTTCTAGAGCTCTCTGGAAGTGGCAGCCTTTGATTTTAGCTCCCACAATACTTTTCTCTTAAATCCTGGCCTTTGCATATATCTTGTTACCCTAAACTTACCAAGTTATAAGTCTGAACTCCATTGAACATTCTTTTGTTGATGGTATCTATATTACTATTCACTCACCTCACTTCTCTCTCAATGTATATCTTAGATTCAAGTTCCAATGCTTTACTTCAGTTACCCCAATTCTGATTTAAAATCCTTTTGGTTTTACCCATGATGCTCACTGTCTAGCCAAATAATACCAAATTGTATCCATTTTCCCCTTTACACTTAGGATTTGCTGAATGACCACCACACACCTATCTAATCACAAGCCTCAAGCACTCCCATCTGATGGGGCAACCCATTATATGAAGACATTTTTATATACCTGGGGATCAGCATCTTTTTCTGGCATTGGACCAAAGTGACTGAGTATCCGATTCTTCAGAGATGATTTGAGTGAGTGAAACCATGATGCCGCTTGCTCATAGACACAGTTATGCAATCCCATAAGTTCAGCACAATCCTCTCCCTGAACCTGAAAGTATCAAGGTGGAAGTGAGACATTCTGTACCCTCTCCATTCCTCCCAGAGTTGCTTTTGATGTTGACCCTCTTTAAGCATCCCTTCTGCCTTCCTGTGGCAAGGCTCACCCACACATCTTTCTCCTGTATATGGTATGACACACTCCATAGCCAGGTGCATATATGGTTGGGGGTGGGAAGCAGGAAAGTTCACCTGTGGAGAGTAGCCAAAAGAGCAAGATGCTCAGAAAGCCAAACGGTGGAACAGGCCTGAGCGGACACAGATTATGCTGGTGTAGGCCTCTGTCCTTTTTGTTTTTACACTTGTTTTCCCACTGCTCTCTGGGAACAGAGATATAAATGTGTCTCAATGTGTAACTATCTCCAAAGTCAAATACATTTATTTGCTGATCAAATATTCATTAATCTACTACATAGTGAATGTAAATATAAATTAATATGGGATGACTGACTTCTTCCACCCATTTGCTAAAAAAACTGAGGATTAACTGGACAGGTCATCTTTCTGCTTTAGGGGATGATTAGTGATTCTGCTTTCAGGGAAGGGCTATTAGCCATGTTGTACATTTAAAAATCCAAATGCATATGTGAATTTACAGTGATCACAAAAGAAAAAATAAATTGATAATAAATACTTATGTATAGGCCCCACTCCAGATCTATCTCCTGCTTTCCCTGGTGGAGACCTAACTGGGCTCTACCAGGGAAAGGGCCCCAGGGCTGGTCTGAGGTAGCATTTATATATATATATATATATATATATATATATATATATATATATATATATATATTGTTGTTGATGCACCTTTATCTTATTATTTATTTTATGTAGTGCTGAGACTTGAACCCAGTGCCTCACACATGTTAGGCAAGTGCTCTGCCACTGAGCCACAACTCCAGCCCCCTGAGGTAGCATTTCTTATGCATAGCTGCAACTCAGCAGCTAAACAGGGAGAGCCAGGACAATGAGTGCTGTCACTACAAATCTGCAATTGGACAGCAATCCAGCAGCATTTAGCATTGCTGTAGCAATCTGGTGAGAAATCACATGGCCCCAAGACAGTTCTGAGAAATCCTTTTGCAATCATCTTTGTATGCCAAGTTACAAGGATTCTTGGCACTAGCCACCCTCACCTTTTGATCTTCAATGTATTCAATGTCAGCTGTGTTGTAGCCATCTCGTTGACCCTGATGGAGCACCTTGAAGCGCCTCTTGCCTATGCTGTCAACCACAGAGCGACCATCGGCAAAAAATTGAACATTTCTGATCTCTAAGATACAGCCATATTCTGCAAACCTGTTTAAGAAGGTAGATCCTTGAGTTTTATTTCACTGGCCTGGACCCCAATCATTTCTATAACCCTGTGCTGTGCCTTAAGGAACATCTGCCTATTTACCTGCCCCTGGGTTTCAACTGCAACTGTACAATAGTTGGATGGAGCTAAAATATGAACCTGGACAGTTTAAGTCCAGGGCCCATGTTCTTATAAAACAAGTTTTATAATAAATACCACCTGCTTAATAAAGACCAATTCTGGGTTTTTTTAAAATAAGCAGCCTCTCACACAGTAATAGGCAGTGTTTATATGAAAAAAAAAAAAACCCTTAACATAGCAGTATAACTACTACCATTTATTGAGCACATATTGTGTACCAGTGCTATGGTTTGAATGTCTGCTCCCTACAAAACTCATGCTGAAATTAATTAAGATGTGGAAACTTTAAGAGGTGATTAGGCCAAAGGGGTTCTGTCCTCATGAATGGATTGATAGAGTTAAGAACAGCTTGGTATAACCCCCTTTCTCTCCACCCCCCCCCCCAGCTTCTCTTTGCCCTTCTGCCATGTTATGATGTAGCAAGAAGGTCCTTGCTAGACACTGGCACCTTAATTTTGTATCCTAGCCTCCAGAACCATGAGAAATAAATTTCTATTGTTTATAAATGACTCAGTATATGGTATTCTGTCATAGCATGTCAAAATGGACTCAGACAGCTGGGAACTGCACTTAGTGCTTTATGTGTATTATTAACTCATCAATCCTCCCAACAAATAAACCCAATGAGGTAAGCACTATCATCTTACCCACTTAACAGACAAGGAAACTGGATACAGAGAGGTTTGAATAACTTGCCCAAAATCAAAATTGCTCCAAGGATGAAATTAGAATATAAATCTAGGGAGTTTGACTCCAGAGACCACATCATTTTTTCTTCACAGTGGTCATGTATGCCAGGCAAGTGCTCTACCACTGAGCCAAATGCCCAGCCCCGGCCTACACTCTTATAAAACAAGTTTTACAATATAAACTACCTGCTTTACAAAAGACTGACTCTAGGATTCTTTTAAACAGGCAGCCTCTCACTTAGTAAATGTTGCACCAAAGAGACCATCATCCTTACAAATGCTCCTGTTCTTAAGCTGGCTAAACCTCATGAGATAGGTCTCCCTACCTCTGGGAACACTCCAGAGTAAAACAAAACATCCCTCTCTACCAACCTCCCTTTACTCCCAGGGCTTCTCACTTACCCTTTGACAGGATCTCCAAGGCACATGCCAAACTGTCTTGTACCTGTTTCGATACATCTGCGAATCATCAGGCGGTAACAAGGCTCAAAGATGTGTAGGGGACAAGGAACAGTGGGATAGGCCATAGTGCACACGAAAATAGGCACGTTCTTATTTAAGCTGTCAGGAAGAGGACATTAGATGGATCTCAAAGCAATGGAGTAGAACACAAAAAGGATGGTCAAATATCACCATGTAATTCCCCAGAGAGAAGGCAAGTAGCCATCAAATTTTGATGACTGATAAAAAAATACTAATGTTGTGATCTGAGTCCCACAATGTGGTGCAAAGGTTAACCTAAGGTCTAAGAGATTAAAATTGGATTGCACATGTTCTAATGTGGCTTCAGAAGTTCTCTAGTACTTTAAGATTGTGAGTTATGGCTATGTTGTGTATTTTTTCTTTCTATGATTCATCTCTTCACTCAAAATGGTCCCTCTTTAGGTGTTTTGCTGACAAATACTGAAGGTATAAGTGCATCAAGAGGTGATGGGAAATTCTTTGCAAGGTCCTCGTGACATCTCAAATTTGTAACACCTTCCCTGCCAGAAATGTGCATGGAAAGACCAACTAGGAAGAGGAGCAAGCAAGAGACAGAGAAGAGTAATTTAACCCACTGATGCTCAAATACTCTTGTGCATCAGAGATACCAGGGACCCTTAAATCCAGATGACTAGGCCACCGTACTCCCAAGGATACTGATGGGATTAGCTATGGAACTAGGATCCAGGGATTTGTGTTTCAACAGTACCCCCCAAAGATTCAGACACATGACCCACTGCAGAATCCCCAACAGGGCCAGCTCCTCTTTATCCTCTTATTTGATAAACAATCCATTGCAGGAACATTGAACCTAAACCTACAGAGATATAAGACTATCTGCACAAATCCCAAAAGGGTTAGGTTTAGAATTCCTTCAAATAGAAAGCCCCAAAGTATGTTCCATATTTACTAATAACACCTTATGTGATATTTGAGAATATGGCTCAGAGAGACTCAAGGTTAACTTTAGAATGAGGGGAAAAAGAAAATGATGTTCTGAGTAGTTTCAGTATAAGTCAATATAAAAACATTTCTAGTTTCAGAGGAAACATTATTTAAAGTGAGAGAAACATTCAAACAAACTGATGGCAGAGTTTAGAAATATTCTCTACAGGGTGGACATAAAACCAGAACAGTTTTTTCTTGTTTAGTTGCTTTTTGGTTTTTGCTAACAGGAAACCATGCCTCACAGAATACTCACAAAATACTGTAAGAACTGCACTATGGATGTGAGGATGGGGGGGCGGTAATAAAAGGGGCAGAAATTAGTGGTGGCCCCTTACTTCTTCCGCTAACTAAGCAGACAGAGCTTGGAGCCTCAATTAGCAGAAGTTCTCCTGATTATGCTATTCCAGTTTACTCCTCCCAGCAAGGCCCGTTACAAGTGCCAAGATGCCTATTAGTTTGTGAGTTTGGCGTATGCATCTTTAGTGGTGTGTTGGTAAATGCTTAACAACTGGCTTTGGGGTAGAGGGAATCCTACTTTATACCATTTGCTGATTTCCATGGTATGAATGTTTTCACCATGGCCAGTTTAAAGTTGCCACCAAGATATCTCTGAATAAGGAGCTGGGGGGAAAAATCTGCACATTCAACTCTCATGAGCTGGTATGAATGAAACTGAAAACAGAAACATGCATATACATACTTAGACAGTTCTTCCATTTCTTCTTCATGAAGCCTTCTTCGTTCCTTTAGTTCCTCTGGAAGGAACTTAGCTATTAGCTCTTCCATTATTACATTTTTGCTGTATTTTCTTGATACCAAGCACTATATGGGGAAAAAAGCAATTTGATATTATTCAATCATCAAAAAAAAAAAAAAAAAAACCACAAGGACTTCTAACACAAACAACAGAACAGCCAAGTGACTCATATATTGGAGTAATTTGGACCCACAATTTAGCAGCTAACACTCTAATATATGTATTCTCCAGATATCAGAATTTAGTTTTTTAAACATGTAAATGATCACCTTCATTTAATATATATATATATATATATATATATATATATATATATATATATATATATTAGTTATAGATGGACATAATACTTTCATTTTATTTATTTATTTTCATGTGGTGCTGAGGATCAAACCCAGTGCCTCACACATGCTAGGCGAGCACTCTACCACTGAGCCACAACCTCAGCCCCAATGATTGCCTTTATAATTAGGAAAAAATTAACAGGAATAAGCCTGCGTTAAAGTTTTTAAAATCTCATTGCTTTCCCCAAACAGGAACATTAGAATTATGCTCTTGTCCCCAAACAAGGAAAACTCTTCCTCTTTCCTTTTTCTGATTATTGTGTTTATAAGCTCACAGAAATGGACTCTCTTTGGGATGTGCTGAAAGTCAATAGTCAAAAGCAATGTTCACTGAACCTTTCCTTCCCTTTCCTGACCTGCCCCCATTCCAATCCAGTGCTTGGCTTCTGGATATTTACAATTCTGTACATTTTATTCTAACTTTAGTTAAGAAAAAAAACACACACAAGCAGCTAAATACTGGTGATTTTGTTCATCTATTTGCCTTTTTAGTATGACATCTAGGTATCACTGAAATTATAAGCCATAATTTCAGAACCAAACTCAGGCTCATTTGGAACTATCACTTTCCTTCCAAATACCCTTACCACATACATATCTAGGGATCTGAAAGCAGTGGGTATGTAATGCTGTGACCCAACAATAGATGTTAAAACATCTAAATTGCTTGCTGTGGAAACTACCCCTACCAACCCAGCAGGGGGAGCTCCTGAGTAGACAATTTGTCGGCTTAAAAGACAATTTGTTTCTCTCCCTGTATGGGCAGTCTCTTTTCTGCATTGAACGTGATTGGAATACTTATCCCTGTGTAAAATTGTATAAGTGTAATTCTGTATGACTACACAGAGAAAGATGAGAATATCTCATAGCCCTTGAGTCTGGGACTACACAGCAACTGCCTCCTGGGTGCCTTTTCAGTCACCAACATTGAGAACCAACTGTGTTGCTCAGTGCCAATGTAGAGGGGGGGGGGGGAAGCAGAGACTCAGGAGGTAGCCAATCCAGAGAGAAGACCTCTCTGCTGCTGCTAAAACAAAAACCCAGAAAGGGCACATTCTAAAATGTTAACAGTGGTTTTCTTTAGGTGCTGAGCATTATGGGTAGATTTTCTTCTTTCTGCTTATCTGAACTTTGTAGTGTTATCACAACATACATGTATCTTTAAGCATAAGGATCATGGGTTTATCACCTACAATCAGGCCAGCAAATCCCCCACAGCATTACTTTGACCCTCCCCTGATCCTGATACACACCCTCAAAGCTATACTTGATGATTATTTCACTCTGTTCCTTTAGTGTAAATGTTAGAGTTTGGGACAAGCACAACATGGGCCTACATTAACCTAGAGATAATCTTGCATGTTCAGTTTCAACTCAGGAATGACAGGGGTCAAGGAACATCAATACTCATTATAAAATGTGACTCATAATCCCTGATGGAGGTAAACCAAAACAGATTCCTGGGTCTTCTTTTGATAAAGGAAAATTCCATCAGGTCCATTTGAAAAATGAAGGTAGGAGTTTGTGTGGTTAATTTTAGAGAACTTGGAAGGCCCAGGTCTTTTCAAGTAGCCAAACATCTGCAAATAAGTACAGTGACTCCAAAGAGGTTAGACAAGGACCACAATGATAGTCTAGAGGTTTTTCCAGGAACCTGGGAGATGATCTCTTCAAAGCACAGAATAAACATTGATGATAAGAGGACATTAGAGCTATCTGGCACAAGCCCAGAGAGGACAAAAGATTCACCAAAGATCAAAGTGTATCAGGTACCATGATGGGATTAGAACCAGGATCCATGTTCATCATCTATTTAATACTTTAGTTTCCAGCACAAATTACTTGATTTAATTTCCTGAAGGACTTTGTGAAGAGGCAAGTGGTGTCTAGAAGACAGCAGAAACAGATGGTTTGAAAGGGTATTGGGCTCTAGCATAGAGTAGTAGCTTGGGACCCAACTAAACACCAAGTATACCCAATTACAAGCAAGCCAATCCATCCAAGAAAGAAATATTGGTTTACCTGAGCAAGGCCATCTTTGCATAATGGACACTTTGCATTGTGATCTAGGCATCTTTCAAGGCATTTTAAACAGAAGGTATGCCCACAAGGTGTTGTCACTGGCTCATAGAATAATCTGAAATTTAAGAATCAAAATGTAAGAAAATCAAAATGTGATAGAAGACAGGGTACTCATGGTTCAGGTTTAATTGGGAAAGCCTATGTGGGGAGGATACCTTTTACTTTTAATCACTGCTATTGTTGCACTCCAAGAAAGAATTTGCTTCTGATTTCTGGGACATTTTTAAAATAATGCATTTGTTAAAGTTTAGAATATAGCTAGATCGTTTTTGAAACATTGATTCTAGTCTATCTCTTCAAAATAGAAAGATTTTTTTACCCTTGTCTGGTCCAAGAAAAATAGAGATTAGTGCCCAGAATGTCTGAATAGATTCCATTCTAAAGATGTTAGCCCACTTATTCATCTGAGTATACATAGACATACATATAGACACACACACACACACACTTAAGCACTTTACACTATGTTACCATGAGAAAACTTGATTGTTTGCTCACACTGATTCCTTTTTTTCACCTAAGCAACCTTTATTGCCTTAAGGATCTTGAAATTGCATCTAACAAACATAAGTCTTTTATATGGATGAATAATTTTACTAGAGTTAATAGAGTAATACTTAATATTATTAAGTGCACACTGATATAATAGATAAACACAGATATACATTGACATATACCCACATATATGCATATGTATAGATATATAAATTATACTTCAATTAGATTCTATTTGAATTGTTTGGGAAGGCAAGATATTTTCGAAGCAATCTGGGGATCCTTTATTAAAGCTATCCTGTACCTTCAGAGATTCATGAATTTACTTCATATAAAGAGAGGCTCACCTGCAGCAGGACCAGGAAGCAGGAGCAGCTGATGATGACAACTAAGAAGTGGGGCTCGCACTCATCAAGAGGATGAGCACAGAAAAGGAGAGAGGATTATAGCTTATTTTGACCTCTCCAGAGTGTTCAATAGAGAGGAAGACACTGACGGCTGCACAGCTCCCTCGTGTGGCCAGGAGGTGCACCAGTAGCCTGGCCTGCACTGCCAGCCTGAGCCCAAGAATCAAAATACAAGAGCTAAATGTACTTGAGAAGAAATGGAACCCACCAACTAGAATAAAACTCAGGTCCACTGGGGATACAGTCACTTGTCTAAGTATACGCAGTCAACTGTTGACAGATGAAAAGTCTCTCCAACTTTCATTTCCTGTCATGTGCCTTTTCTATTAGACAATGATTCTCAACCACTGATGTGCATCAGAATCACCTGGGGGAACTTTTTCTTTAAACAGCCTTATTGATGCATAATTGACATACATACAATAAACTGAACATACTTAAAACATATGATCTGGTAAGTTTTGACGTATGCACACATTTATGAAAACATCACCACAATCCAGATAGTGAGTATACCCATTACTTCCAAATGTTTCCTCCTGGCCCTTCCCAAATCAACACCTTCATCATCTTGGAGCTTTCAAAAAGTCCAGAAGCCCAGTACTACATCTAAGAAATCCAGATCGGTAGGCCAAAGTTCAGGCCAGGTACCAGGACTCTTTTACAGCCCCCCTGAGTGGTTTTAATGTGCAACAGAGGTTGAGAATCACTGTGTTACACAATCCTACTAAGCTCTGTATAGATGAACCTTCTGTATTGGTTTTTGAACATAATTATCAGAGTCACTGATAGAGATTTAAAAACATACATGTGGCAAAGCTCTGCTGGTTAAAGTCCCAGATTCAGCAGGTCAGGGAGAGGGAGTGATTTGATATTTTTAACAAGCCCATGAAGGTCTGAAGTAGAGGAGAGACTTCATGTATTTACTTTTTGTACATTTGAATTTTACCATTCTGCTTCAAAAGTAATTGATTTTTCTAACAGAATTAATGTTTTATTAAATTTGCCCAAAAAGTAACATTAAATATAAAAAAGACTGTTTATGATAAGAGTTTCTAACTGGTGCACTAAAGTAAGAAGAAAAAGTATGCAAATTAGAAAGGAAGAAAATTAATCTGTCATTACTCACCAATGGTATGATGAATAACAAATTTAGAACACATAAAAGCATGTACAGAATGATTGTTGGAATTAATAGAATTAGTGAGGTTTCTAGGTAAATATACTTACACCCAATTGTATTTCTATATACTCACAATAAACATTAGAAAATAATTTCTTAAAAGATAACATTTACAACTGCTTAAGAAAAAAAACAAGTACCCAGGAATAAATCTAACAAAAGTTCTGAGTCCTCTTTTGGAAAAAGCTATAAATACCTCATTGAATGAAAGTAAAGAAGACCTAACAAGTTCCAATAAAAATTCCAATGGGTGGGCTGAGGCTGTGGCTCAGCGGTAGCTCATTTGCCTGGAATGTGTGAGCACTGGGTTCGATCCTCAGCACAATAAATAAATAAATAGATAGATAGATAAATAAATAAATAAATGCTCATTGACAACTACAAAAATATTTTTTAAAAATCCCAATGGGTGATTTCATTTGTTTTGTGGAACTTGACAAGTCAATTTCTAAACTTAATGAGGATATGCAAAGGGCCAAGAGCCAAGACGCATCTGAAGAGCAACAATGTGGGAAGACTTGCTCTACCAGACATCAGAACTTATTATAAATCTGTGGTGATTAAAAGAGTAAATGACTAGCACAAGGGCAAATAGACACGTGGGAATGAATAGAAAGCCCAGGAATAGACCCAGACATGGATTCTTAACTTATGACAAATGTGGCACTTCAAAGCAGGGGGCAGGGGTAAGGATGGGGGCAGGATTATAAATATATAAATAGCATTCTCAATTAATACTACATTGGATATACGTATGTATGTATACACACATATGTGAAAATGAAATTGAACCATCTCTCACATCATATGCAAAAATCAATTACATGTGGGCTATAAAAATAAATATGGAAAGCAAAACAATACATCTTTCAGAAGATAAAAGAGAATATGAACCTGAGGTAAAAATGTCTTAAGACACAAAAAAAAGAACTATAATGAAAAGACTGATAATTTTTAAAAAAATATTTTTATTACTTATTGATGGACCTTTATTTATTTATCTAATTGCTTATATGTGGTGCTGAGAATTGAACCCAGTGCCTCACACATGCTAGGCAAGCGCTCTACCACTGAGCCACAACTCCAGCCCAAGACTGACAATTTTGAGTGCATCAAAATTAAGAACTTGGAAATTCATTCCAAGTTATTGCTAAGAGAGCTAACATGCAAGCTACATAGTAAGTGAAAGTATTTGCAATACATATGATTAAACAAAGACTTGTATCTAGAGTATACCTAGAGATCTTATCAGTCAGTAAGAAAAGAGAAGCCAATTTAAAAAAATAGGAATACATTGGTACATACAAAAACAGTGTTCATAAGTAATGTTGTCCATAATATCTCCAAATTAGAACCAACACCAAGCATTTATTTATAATACAATTAATAAACAAATTGTGGTAGATTCATACAATAGGATACTGTACAGTAATGGGCATGACTGCTTCATGTACATGCAGCAACATGGATAAATCTTAATAGCAAGTAAAAAAAAGCCAGACTGAAAATATATTCTGGATAATTCCATTTATATAAATGCTTAAAATTAGGCAAAACTAGATTATACCATTTTAAAATGCATACATGGGTGGTAAAACTATAAAGAAAAATGAGATAGAAGTCAAAATTGTAGTCTCAGGGCAAGGAATAAGTGTAGTCCTGATTGGAAAGAGGAATATCGGCAGCTTCTGGGGTCCTGACAATATCTTATTTCTTGAACTATGGAGCACCCTCTTTACAATATTTTGTTAAGAAAACACTTTTATATTTTATGCAATTTGTATATTTCACAATCCAAAATGTGTTTCAAAAAGTGTGATCTGCAGGCTGATTTGGGAACCACAGCTGTGATCAAACTACCAAGCAGCCAAACCAGAATAGCTCATTTCCTCAGTAACTTGAATACTGTGCATGTGAATACTTTTGTGCATTATCTGATGATGTTAATGATGGAAATGATTAATGAATCTGTATCTACAACCAATACACATAACTATTTTTCCCAAGAATTTCACAAGTAAGCCTGTTGATCGTTTAAGAATACAATCCACATAAATTGATAAACACTGACATTTAATGAATAGATGCATGAAACATACACCAAAGGACAAGGTAATTTCTTAGCAAGACTCTTAATTAAAATGCCCCTTAATGAGAAGTAACAAGTACAACTGTGGCCAGGGATGCTGCATAATTATTACTTTGAAATCTATCATGGTTTAGGTGCTTAGAACCTATCACTTTTCAATACTCAATTCACCTTTATATTCAGTGCACAGCCTGGGAACAGATGGAACAAATTTCTCTTGTTATATTTCTGGGTTTGTGAAAAATTGTTTTTCATATCAAATAACTTTATATATTAATAGGTGGTAATTATGATTAGATCCATTTTACTACTGAGGAATCTGAAACTCAGGCAGGTTAAATAATTTGCTCAAGGTCACACAGCAAGTTGGTAAGCAGAAAGACTGGGATGTGAAGTCAGACTTGACTGTTCAGCTAATCTTCCTTTTCCACTCTGACAAAGTGAGGACTGTATGTATTTCTATATCTCAAATGAACATCACATACCTACATACACTCATACACACACTTTCCTCCTTCCCTGACTCCCTCCCTCCTGTCCCTACTCTCTAGAAAGAAAAAGAAAGATCTTTATCTATACAGATAGTGTTGTATACTAGAATTGCTCTCCCTTTGACTTACCACTGATTTACAAATGCCTCCCTGCATTCTTCCCACTAAGGACTGCAGTTTTAAGAACCTCAAGATAGAAAATGATCTCGATTTGGCATTTATAAATCAAAGTAGAGCCAGATTTTCTCACAAGAAAGCATTTTACATTGTCACAGTGATGGAGTAAACAATAGTAATAATAAATACTTTCAGTTAGATGTCAACCTGGATAAAATGTTTGTCTGAAAATAGCTATCTTTTCCCACCAGTTACATCCTTGTATTGTGTTCTTTTGCTACCAAATGAGAGCAAAGAGGGAAGGAGAAGGCGGGGGAGGGAGGCAGAGGGAGAGAAAAAGGAGAATGAACTGACTCCTTAACACCCAGTGACTTGAATAGCTAAAACTAGGTTAAATATAAAGCTTCTTCTTTCAATTGACAAAGAGGTCACTGGGCCATTAGGTAACTGGTTCAAATATCAAACATTCTTGCTTCATATCTCAAAATATCCTTATTACCCCCCTAAAGGTGCTGCTTCATAGCAGCCCCAGAGTTGGCCCCCAATGGCTGGGGGCTTTTCAGCTAGTAACAATTGTGGGGCAGAGTTCTGAGACATTGAGTTTGGGGACAACTGAGCTCAATAGAGCTCTACCAATTCATTAAGGTGAGACTTTAGTATCTCATTAATGTCCCCTCCAGTTACTGTTTCATTCTTTCCACCATTTTCCTGTGAAACTTACACTTATTCATGATTTTCTCTCTAGAATCAAAATACACGCATTCGTGATCTAACTTGTCTTTCTACCAATACAACAATCATGGAACTGGATGTCATTCTAGAAACTTGCACAGGTGGTATAAATGTCTAATTTCATGATTGTTTGAGGTTATTTCTAGTATCCTTCTGCAAAAATACAAGGTAATAACAGAATCTAATAGTAATTGAACAACAGATGAAAAACACTAAAGAGTGTTGGAGACAGGAACTTTTTCAAGATTGAAAGAATCTTAGCTAACTATGCATATGAAATATACCCTCTGTCAACATTTGAGGTCTAACTTAGAGACAATCCTTGAAAGAGGAACTACATGCTACCCATGGAGGGCTGCAGTTTTAAGAACCTCAAGACGGAAAATGACCTCGATTTGACAGGTTTCTTACTACTATAAAACAGTGACAGCCTGCCTATACCTTAGCAGCCAGCACAACAGCTACTCCAGGGAAAGGCTTTGGGGCTGAAGTTTCTACTTAGAACAGAAGAATGTGATAAGGGAAATAATGGCTTTTAAACTCACAGTGTGCAATCTAAAAGTGTTTCTTATCCTTTTGGTGTTTAATTCTTGGGCCAGATTTTTCACCCTCCTCCAAAATCCCCTGTTGAGATCAGGGGCAAACAAGATGAAAGGGAGAAAGCAGAGGAAGAGGAACAAAAGAACTTCAAACTTAGATTTCTTAATCCACAGAGAAAACACAAACAGGATGGGTCTGTATATTTGACTTCATGTCGCCTGGATGTTGGAGTGCGTGTTAAGGAGGGTAAGTACAACAAAGACCTGTTCTCTCTGAGTGAGCTAAATCAAGTTAAGTCTACTCCACAGCTCACATCATTGGCTTGGGGCCACAGTGGTGATAGCCACAGGAGCCATTTCTCTGCTTTGGAAGCAGCATTTCTGGATCTCAAACCTTGGCTTTGGCATGATCTACCTGCCACCCTGTTGTGAGGGGTTGGGGGAAGTGGTGAAAGGGAGCTGGCTGTATAGTTCATCCCATCCTAGCCCACTCCATCGAAATAAATTCCTGACAGTATACGCACAGTTTGCCGTGACTGCTTCTACATTCCATCTGCTGAACTGTTCATTATGAAGTCTGCCCAAGATGAGGAGAAATTGTCACTTCTAAAGTTTTATTTATTTCTTTATCCATTCAGTTGTTTTTTGTTAGTTTTTTTTTTTGTTTTTTTTTCAGCACTAAGGATTGAACCTGGGGCCTTGTGCATGTGGCCTTATGAATGCTAGGTAGGCACTCTATACTTCAGCCCCACTTAAAAAAATTTTAGGAGAAAGAAAAAGTCTACATTTCAAGTAATGGATGCCCTATTCTTATTCATTCTACAAGAAAAGTTGTTCAGAATGCAAATACATGTTATTGATAGGAGAGGCATATGTGCCTATAAAGGGCAAGAAAACACATGAGGAGTCTCTGCCAGTGAGGGCTCTTCTTGACACCTCTTCTGCATCAGTCATCTTTAAAAAAGGTTTTGTGTAGCCTGGTGCAGTGGCACATGCCTGTAATCCCATTGGCTAGGGAGGATCTTGAGTTCAAAGCCAGCCTCAGCAGCAGCGAGGTGCTAAGCAACTCAGTGAGACCCTGTCTCTAAATAAAATATGAAACAGGGGCTGGGGGTGTGGTTCAGTGGTTGAGTGTCCCTGAGTTCAATTGCTAGATACCCCCCCCCCCCAATAGGTTTTGTCTAAATATCCCCATTCAATGCTATTTTGGAAAACAGACATGTCTCAAACTAGAAGCTATGGACTTTTGTAATGGAAACATGCACACACACACATACACACAAACAAAACTCTTTGTACAACTTTAGTGAATTCATAGATCTGTTAGAATCCATAAACAGAACCTCTCCAGCAATCCATGGTCCTAATATTAAGAACCTCTAGTCTAGGAGGAAAAAAATAGCTAACACATAATGAGTACTTACTATATGCCAGGCACTATTCTAAGTATTAAATAGTTTTTTTCAATTAATCATGACAACTCCATGGGATTGCTACTACTGTTCTCTATTTTACTGATGAGAAAACAGTGACAGAGAATGTCATTCACCCCAGGAAAAAGTCTGTTAGGTGGACAAAACCAGGATTCAGGGGCTGGTGTTGTGGCTCAGTGGTGGAGCACTCACCTAGCATGTGTGAGACCCTGGGATCGATCCTCAGCACCACATATAAAAAAAAGGTATTGTGTGCAACTACAGCTAAAAAATAAATAAATGTTTTTAAAAAAACAGAATTCAAACCCTGGCTTTGGAGCCCCTTTTCTTAGCCACTAACTTACAGCTGTAAAATAAAATCAATGAAAGTAATTTTCAAAAATCATATGTGATTACATAGACCAGGATCAAAGCATCTTTCTATTTTTTTTTAGGGGAGGGTAACATGTGGCTAATTTGCCTTTCTAGGGGTCTCAGAAAGTAGAGATGATGTGGCACTAATTGGAGGGGAACTGTTTGACCAAGTATTGTTCATGGTGCAGCATAAAACACAAGCTAGTTAAGCCCTCTATTTGGCTTCCAAAGAATAGGCATGTGGCATTGACATTAACCCTTGAGTTTTGAGTTCTTGATCCAATAGTTCTAATTAGCTCCTGGGTCACAAACTTAAACACCACAGGGGCCATGAAAATAATGCAAATAAGATAGTAGGGGCAGTGAGGACCATGAAACAACTAGAAAGTGTATGTCCTGTCTCAAGACATTCACATTTAACAAAAACAATCCCCATGAGAGACAAACCAAAGGTATATTCAATGTGCAGGTCATCAGTTTGTGACCTCTGAGTAGGCTATTCCCTTTCCACTCTTCAGATATTTCCAAATCAGGAGTTAAGGATGCAGGGAAAGCAATCTGTAAATAGGGGACACAAGCTGGCCCATATGACAATGCTGTGATTTCTATTTCATTATAACAATTTCTTTATGTGCTAACCAACCAAGCAGTAGATCACTAGCAGAAAGGTACAGACATCACAGAGGAGGAACAATCAGGCAATAAGTGATAGTAAACATCACCTACCTCATACACAGGGAGCATTCAAGGTCAGATGCGTCAAAAGATACAAGTGGAATACTGAGATCAGGCTTGGCCCCCTGATCAGTGGGAGGATCTATGACGTAGAAAGCAGTAAGTCAGAACTAGACCAAATTTGATTTCACAAACAGTAATTTTGAGACCAAAAAAAAAATCATTTTTATATTTGCCATTCTCACCACCTCCCTGATGGCTCAGGCCATTGCAAATGGGATGCCTGAAAACAGGTGCTCAGAGGTTGACAGCAGCCCCCATAAAAAGAGAAGTGCAAGTCAGAGACTATCCAGCAGCCCTGGAGATGTCATTCAAACACAGTGAGAACCTAACTCAACTGCAGCAGCAGCAGCAACTCTATGGGCTGAGTCAGGCCTTCAAAGCTGGGGCTGAATATCTTGGCACTGCCAACATCTTATGAAAAGATATCAAGCTGTAGCTGCTGCTTCTCAGATGCTATCTGGGGGAACACAATTTGGTAAGGCCTGCTCATACTTCTTCCATCCTACATTCTTGGAACAGGGATGGGCGTGGGGAGAGGTTGACCTAGAAGGAATGGCTATGGTCAAGGGCCTGGGATGTCACTGCTTGATACTTTCCTTGACTTTATGCCTTGAATTTCCATAACTATAATTGAGCACTTAAGAGTGTACTAGCCCCCACGTGTGATCTCACAGAAACCTCACAACAAGCCCTGAGTTCATACAGCTGGTAAATATCAGAGTTGGGCCACCTACCCAGAGCCCAGGGAACCCCCAAAATGGATGTTAACTTGCATGTATCAGTGAGCCCAATCATCTCCTCCAATCTATTTTCTTCCCGAGTAGAGTCAGTACCTTGTTTTGAGACTTTATTAGGCACCTCTGCGTCTTCTTGGGGTTCAATTTGGCAATGTTTCCTTTTCTTTTCCTGGCATTTGCCAGTCTTGACAGAGGCAGCATCTGGAGAGGCAGCATTCCACTTATCCTCCTTTTCTTCTTTGTCTTTCATGTTGTCTTGCTGACTATTCACCTTAACTTGAGCTGTAGTCATCAAACTGCTGGCATCTCCCCTGGCTACTGCTTCCTCTTGACTAGAACAATGTGGGAGCTCTAGATTTCCCTAGATGAAGTAAGAGTCAAATATCAGAATCTTTTTAGGACCAATAATGTCATCTGGTATTTTTACCCAAAGAGGACAAAGAGAAAGCTTTATAAACCCTGATCCTCATACCTGATCACTTAATGGACACATAGCTCAACTGAGGGAGGGAGAGTCATAGGCTTTCCCCATTTCCTATCCATACAGCATCTGTGACAAAGGCATGCCCAGCTGGGGTGGAGTTAGGAACTTCCTTACTGCAAGAGGAAAGGCATGTAGGAGAAGTGGTTCCCTGGATAGTATCGAAGGGAGGGGAATACCAGGGAAGTCCCACTTCCTTATCCTATCCAAATCTTTCCTTAGTAACCACTTCAGGAAACCAAGGCATAAAGTAAGAGTATATCCTGTCACTCAGTACTTCCTCTCACCCTCACTGCCATTCCAAGCAACCCCCCAAACCCAGCTCCAAAAGGACTTTTGATAAGGCTTTGGCCCAGGTCTGTTCATGCCATGTTCAAAGCTCTTGAGCTCTATGTTATACTGATCAAATGAACACGGAATACCCTATTCCTTTTATTAGGTTTTGGGTGAAAAGTCTGAAAGAGACAAATCATTTAGCAAAATAATCAACCCGATCTTTCAAAATTATTTTTAGTTCAGGAGAGGTATATCTGAAAATGGATCTAGAAATACATCTTATGACAGCATGTTTATGCAGATTTACCTGGAGATCTAAATCCATAGACCACAAGTCAAAATGCCCATTTTCTTATTCCCCTCCAACCCCTACGAAAAAATTGGTAGACACATGAAAAGGGGAGCACATAGTTGAGAGAAAATGAAATGAGGAGGAAAAGGATGTAGGCTTCCTTAATCTCTAACCTGGGGAGTTTAAGATTTTCCAGCATGATAGCAATTCTACAACCTTGACTTTCCATGATCCCAAGGCATTGTCCACATAGGAGTATCCTGCCTTGCACAGTAAAGTCTGGGTGGAAATCCAATCCCTGTTCTTCAATCAGCTCATGTTGGAAAGCTAGGGATGCTATTTCTCTTCATTTCAGATTGAGCTACAAGTACAAGTACCTCTACTTGGGCTCAGTATTAGCATTCCCAATCATGTAATAATGACCCGTGGGGGCTCTCTGATTTCAGGAGATACTCTAAGCTCTGCTTTTATATTTAAAAAAAGTCAGGCACACTTGCATTTTATTCCTTTTCTAGAGCAGGGGCAGAATGGGAAAATGTGAGTAACCAGGGTTGAAATACAGGTGAAGAATACTGGACACAAATGGAGGGGAAACTGATCCCCAAAGTTCCCAGGTATTCAGTACTAAAGTCTGCCTTTGAGTCTGGATGTCTGAACTCCAGCACTGCTCAATTATCCTCTTTTAGGAAAGCTAGTGCCTGAAGCCCATCTTTCTGTGTTTTGTTCCCTTATTTTCAAAGGAAGGCACAAATGCCTATCTTCCTCCCAAGATCTTCAACTCAATAGTCTTCCCCAATCTCTTTGTTCTTCTCTGCTACAAATATGTATTCGAAGTCTACTAATACGTTAAGTTATAATATAGGAAAATATGGAATTACCTTCATTTGGGAATCAAATGGAGTTGTCCTTCACAAGGATCTCAGCTGGTACTCAAAGGCCAGCAGTTTGAACAAACAAAAAGCATGCAAAGGAGGGGCAGTGAAGCCCTCTTCCCAGACTCTGCCCCAAAGTTGCAGCTAATATGCCCACCCCGATTGTATGGTTCCAAGGGAAGTGGGCCAATCCCTTTGTAATTGTATCAAATCTCTCTCTTGGCTGGATCTGACCAAGAACTGAAAAAATAAATGTGATAAGTAAACAAACTTTGGGACCATGACTGAAATTCATAGCTGTATCTTTAAGAAGAAAAATTCTTAATAAGAACACAGCCACTACTGACTCCATTTCTTCTTTGTCAGGAACTGAAATAGGAGAGGTAGGGCTCACTCCCCATGTTTGCCCACAAAACAGCCAAATGAAGTACCATGAGCGAGCTGGGCGAATTGAGTTTTACCTGTAGAATATTTCTGGTGCCTTCAGTAGCCATTGACTCTACTTGTTCCTTTAATCTAGGGTGAGGTGCCAACAGCTTCAGGATATCGGGAGAATGTTCATGAGAATCCCCCGGAAATGATGGTGAAAAGAAACTAAAGAGAAGCTGTGACATAAAACAGAAGACTTCACTACTTAAGTCTCTATAGGTGCTCAGGTGAAGGGGAAAGGAGTAGGGACGGACAGGGGACACAACTTTCAGGGCAAAACTCCCGGGAGGAAGCCCTGGACCCGTATCTAGACACACAAGGACAGGAGTCCTCACTTCATTGTGCATCAGAATCAACTGAGGAGCTTATGAAAAAGTCAGGTTCCTAGTTCTCACTCCTGTCACCCCCAGGTCTGAAGTGTGGCCCAGGAACCCAAATTTTGAGAAGGCACTGCAGATGCCTCTGTTACTTAGCCAAGATTAAGAGCCACTCCTCTGATGCTATTATTCTGCAGAAATATCTACAGAGTGATTTAAAAAAAAAACATCTGGGAAGAAAGAGAAAGACAGGTGAAGTTGGGAGAAATCTCAGTTGGAGAACCTGGAGTCACATCTATAAAACCTCCATGGGTAGAAATCTACAACTGTCTCCTAGGTTCCTTGCTCTTTTCTCTTTCTACCCATCTTGCTTCCTCTTCCCCTCCCTATCACCCCTGGGTCTTTAATTGCTTCAGAGCTGAGGGACTGAGCAGTGAAATGTTAGAAAAGCAGAACCCAAATTTCCTCCTCCTTCTTCTTCTTCTAGCTACTCCTTCATTCTGGCCTTCACTTTCCAGAAAATGTCATCTTAAGTTCAAGTACACAGGGCAGGCAGGTTCCAGTCTATTGATGGTTTTCATTGCAATTGGATACACTGGGAGTGTAGAGTGAGAAGAACCAGAAAGGACTGGAAACCAAAGATGTTTATTCACATGAAAACTGCACCATTGACCATCCACATTCATATATATATATGGTTCATACATACATATTATATTATATGTAACACAAGGAGCACAGGTCACTGGCCTTCTAAAACATACTCAGATGTTTAACATCTCGCTGCCCCTGGAGTGTTTGGAGACCTATTAGAGAACATCCCACACCCTTATTTAGGCTCCATAGGGTATTAATAGATAAATGAATTTGAAGAACACCAAAGTCCAATTTATTCTCTTGCTGGTCCCCAGCAGTTTCTTCCTGAAACGGTTCCCTCAGAGACTAGCATGTACCATGAAGCCATATCATGCTCAATCTTCAAAGCTCAGGTCAAATGCTGCCACCCCTCACTACTCCCATCTCTGATCTCTCCAGTCCCTCTCCTGTCCTTTAATGCTCTCTCCTACACCATGATATAATATGTTAAACTCTATCATCTTATGTTGTCCTGGAATTGTATCACAGATATAAGTCTGTTTTTTTCCTCGTGGCGGGCAGGCGGGGGGGAAGATCGGCTTCTGGAGGGCACAGAACAGATGTCCACTAAATGCTCATCACACTAGATGGAATTGAATTAAGGTACCTATCCATACCAGTGCCCAAGGAGAAGCCTAGCATGCAGGCCCAAAGTCCTCAGACAGATCCCTATGTTTCCTTCCACCTCTGGAAAATCCACTCTCCTGGTGTAAGTTGGCAATGGAGAGAGATAGAGGTTCTCGCAGTACCCAGTGCTATAAATGTTAGCTTTCAGAGGCCTCTCCTCCATAGGAGCCAATGTTGCTCTCGGAAACCCTACTGAGTGGCCCAACAAGACCAACCTACTTTTGAGGCAGTCTCCCTGGAATTCTTCCAAAAGAACATGATGTTCTTCAGTATAAGCCACACAGCATCCCAAGGCACAAGGATGAAAGGGCAGAGGGTAGCAAGAGGGAAAGGAAGCCAAGGGAAGAGATCAAAGGAAACAAGAAAAGAAATAACAGTGGCAGTTCCCTTCACTTTACTACCTAATATATCTCTCTAGGCCTTCTCATTGGCTTTGGAAAACAAAAGTTGTGGTCAACTCTCAGTGAGAATAATATAATAATTCCACAAGTGAAAGTCAATTCCACTCAGTTTTAACTTTAGGAAGGGGGTCAAGAAGGAAAGAAATTAAGAATCTGAGCTAAAAACAAATACTAAAAAGAAATGCAGAACTACGAATTCTCAGGCAGCTTTCTAATGTCAAATGAAGAAGACCCATTTTTGTCAAATGTTTAGCCTTGAAACTGAGACAATTCAATGAATAAGCACAGCTGATGCCTCTCCCATGTTTGTAAATGGCTGCCATAGCCTCATCACATTCAGTGGACATTCACCTCTAAATTCTCACACTACCTTCAGAACTATATAGCACTCTCTCAGGCATATGCTCACTTTTATTTTCTGGCATTCATATTAACAAGCATAAGACTAAATTCCTTGCTATAGATTAAAGCCTCTTTGGGTTTCTAGAGCTTTTCTCAATGCCTTTCCTCTCATCCCATTAAGCAGGTGTCAAAATGACAGTTGGTCCATGAAACCTAACTGGAGAGAGAGGTCAGTTCAACTGACAATTCTAGAACCCCTCCTGCCAACACCCAGTTGGACAAGCAGAGACAAAAACAAACAAACAAAAAAGAACTATTCCTTTTGAGTCCAACACCTGCCTCTTTTACCTTTGCATACTCTGTCCCTAAAGTCAAAGCCTCTTCTAACTGCCTTTGTCTATCCCAGAAATGAAGAGTTCTATTGCTACTCTAGGCCCAGCCCCACATGTAAGTGCTAAGACTCTGGACATGGACATGTCCTCCCAGTATGGCAAAATGTTGAAGTTGCTAAGAGGGTAGGCTTGGAAGCAGACCAAGTTGCTTCTGAATATTTCCCCACCAGTCACTAGCTGGGTGACCTCAGGAAAGAAACCAAGTCTCAGCTTTCAAATCTGTCTCACCATAGGAGGATAAACAACAGTGCCTACCTTCATAGGAAAACTGTGGAGATTCAATTAAATCTTCTAGATAAGGCACCTAGCATTGCATGATGTATAGCAAATGCTCAAGAAATGTTAGAACTCACATTGTGGACTACAATTAATATTTGAGGAAGGTTCCACAACTTGGAGCAATTTGTCCTGACCCATGCTCCTCTCAAGATAAACCTTGTGCATATACCCAAACCAGGTCAAAGAAACAACCCAAACAGGAATTTCTCCTTTAGTGGCAGAAAATCCAGAACCCAACTTCTGCCAAGTTTAACATTTTTTTGCTAAAACTTTCTTTCTGGAGACTTGAGACACCAGACTTATCTTTTGCTCACTTTCTTCATCCACCGCTCTCCCAAACTACACAGGGATAGAAGTGCTTGTGGCCTTGTGGTAAGTAGTGGGCAGGGCACCAGAGAACAGGGATGGCCACTGTTAATGTCAAACCTCCAGGCCAGTTAGACAGACATCAGAAGAGTAAGTTGCAGAACATTAAACAGCAAACTATATGAACTGAGGATGTTTGACCCTTCAATCATGCTTTCAGTATTTCATATAATTATTGGGGAGGGGGTAACCAGGGAATGAACCCAGGGAGACTTCATCACTGGGCCACATTCCCAGCCATTTTTTTTTTTGGGACAGGGACTCACAAACTTGCTCAGGGCCTCACTAAGTTGCTGAGGCTGGCTTTGAACTTGTGATCTTCTTGCCTCAGCCTTCTGAGTTGCTGAGCTTACAGGCCTGTGCCACCACCCCTGCTTCATATAAATTTTTATAGCAACCACATTCTCCTAGGACCCAAGAATTGGAATGGCTATTTGGATCATATGGATCATATTATAATGGTCTTTGACTTGTGTTTGTGAGATGATTTGTTTAATTTCTAACAAAGAAGATAACAGTTGCAATTCTCCTTCCCAGGAGCTGGCTTTCCTGCATGGCTGGTGAAACCACATTCAACCACAGAAAAATACCACAGCTGCAGGCAGCCCCACACCTCACATCACTCTTCAACAGCCAGAACATCCTCAGTTAGCCTCCCATGCCAGGTTAACATGTTTGGTTTTAGATCCCACTAACAATCCAGACCCTTAGTTAAAGAAACATTTCTCGAAGACTCCAATGAAAATGCAGGAACTGCACAATCTGACCATACACACAAGGAAACAGTATTTCTGACAATCAATTGACACTCGTGTCTCCTTCCTGTCCAATAAACCCAAAGAACCACATCCTTGTCACCCCTGGAGGCAGAGAGGGCAGAACCCTCATTCCCCGCCCTAGAGGACACAGAGTAGTGGGGGTTGACTGGACATCTGGATCTGATATCCTTCCAACTTCCAACTCACCCTTTGGGCTTCAGCTCTTGCTCTCTTGTTCTTTCCATCTAGTGATACACAGTAGAGAAATTCTCTCAGTGCTTCCTCCACCTTGCCTAAGGTGGCTAAGGCTTGCGCTTTTCTGAAGTGTGCCTGGAAGAATACATAGCATTCATTACCATCCTATTGATATAGGTAGGTACACATTAGCATTCAATACCCCATAGCAGATTGTTACTACTATTCAGATCAGTCACTGAGTACTTACTGAGCAGTCACTATTGTGTTAAGTTTCAAAAGGACTTTTTTTTTTAACCATATAACCAGGGCAACTTTTCTGAACCCCATTTTAAAGAAGACAAAACTGAATCCCAGAAAACTGACTTGCCCATAGTAACATATTCAGTAAATTGTGGAATTGGGGTTTGAACCTGGAACTGACTATATTCTTAACTGGTATGCCACATTACCTGCTCTCTGTCTCACCACTGTGGAAAGTAAAACCAGACATAGCCAGAACCCCATTTGACCACATATTAGCCTAGCTTTCGGGGCCCTTTCTGACAAGCCTTCCTTTGAACTAATCTGTCAAGCAGAAACTTAGTTGATAGTAGTGGCTTGAGTGAGCTCCTAGACTTGCTGATCATTTTTCAGAAGAGGTCCAAGAGAAGGATCATGACCTTTTCAAGACCTCAAAGTTCACGAGTGGCAACACTGGAACTAAAACTGTGGTCTCTGGTTTCCCAGAATGCTTTTCCCCACAAAATGGACTGCTCCCCTCTCCAGAGGCCTAACCAATGTTTTTACTCATGGAACTCTCCTGGTTTCTACTTCCTCACAACTTCTTTTAAAAATATAAAGAAGTCTTAGGGCTTCTCAAGGTCCAAGCCCAAGTACTCTGGGAGAGACTCTCTAAAGAAAGTAGAGGAACAATCTGGGGAAGAGGGAGGAAGAAGAAAAGAGGAGGGGAGAGAGCTGCCTTTTCTTTGTGCCTTGGGATAGTGAATAAAATGGTCTCCTAGCTTGTCTTCTAACATGCTTCCACATAGCTACAGGAGCTGGCTGGAAGCTACCTTCTTCAGCAGTGGCCCCTACTCCAAATATCTTGGAATGTCTCCCCATCTCCCCATCCCCCCACTTCCTTCTGGAAGCCTAACCATGGCTTATTTGGGAAGCTTATGTCTTCTCCTGTTGCTCCTCCCCACTGTGCTTACCAGGGACCCTCTAAAGAAAGGTGTGTATGACACTGCAGGGCAGCTAGAGTGATAGGTGTTAGGGAATTAGAGAGGCCTCTGGAAACGCACTAATTGACCAAGCAGCAACTCATATACTCTACCTACTCTGGGCAGCCAATTTATCCCACTGTGAGCTGTACCACCTGCAGGGTGCATTGAATACTACTGGGCCTGGCTGGATGGGGGGAATAGAGCTGCTAGGTGAGCTCCCTCCCCTGGAGCATTTTACATAGAAATGGTGGGAAATAAGCAAATCCGGTTGTGAGCTAGTTTTGAATTATATGCCTCAGTTCTTTCAACCCTCAGGACTATATAGAGTTCTCTCATCATTACCCTCCCCCTTACCCCATAACTATAGGAAAATGCATCTACTGCTTAATATTTGCATCAATGATTCCTTCATTAGGGAAATCACTTTTCCCATTTCATCAAAAATGTGCTTCTCCCTCCCCACCACAGAATTTTTTTTTTTTTTTTTTTTTTTTTTTGGTACCAGGGGCACTTAACCATGAGCCACATCCCCAGCTCTTTTTATATTTTATATTGAGACAGGGTCTCACTAAGTTGTTGAGGCTGGTCTTGAGCTTGCAGTCCTCTTGTCTCAGCCTCAAGTCACTGGGACTATAGGTGTGTGCCACCATGCCTAGCCAAAATGTGCTTCTTGATCCTGCTTCCCACCATGATTATCAAGGCCCTTAACCCTAGGTCCTAGGCTTAGGGTGAGAGTGGGAAAAGTTGTTAAGAAAAGTCCTCTTATCCTCAGGCAGCTCCCTGACTTCTACCACTAGGAGGACTGAACCCCCCCCCCCAAGCCTTCTTTCATTTAAACTGCTGACTTGTAACTGTAAATATATTCCTTGGGGAAAGAGAACATATTGACCCATTCATGATATGAACCTGAGATTCATCCTGATAGTAACAGCAGAGTATACAGGTCCACAATGTTTCTAGATCCAAAAGCCATTCTGATAATCCAACACTTTCATAAGCTTGACACCAAAAATTCATTAGGTGACAAAACTTGACTTGAATAGATGTAAAGTGCTTTAAAGTATTTGTCTTACTTAAGTTTGAACTCTCATGCAATTTGCTGAAGAGATAGTATGTTTAATTAGTGTGATTGGGACTTTGTCCAGAGCTCATTGAGGATATTACCTAATGCCTGACCTTTCCACAATCAGAAACATTCTGGATTCTAGACACATCTTGTCCCATGAGGTTTAGATAAGGCATCATGGCCCCAGACTCGGATAAACTGGTTTCCCGATCCTGGAGTTGTTCAGAAAGAGCATTACACCAAAACACAGAAAGCTTTCTAGCTTGCAGAATGTTCTCTTGACCATGGTCACCTTTGATCATTATGCAATGAGGCAATCCGGGCAGATAACAATAGCTCTGTTTCTACAAATAAGGACATTCAGAGAGTGAAGCCACTTCCCCATGGTCACTTAGCTTGCAGTGGTAGAGCCTAAGCTCAAATATAATCTTCTAAACAAAATATTGACATGTAGAGGTTGGTCTGAGGTCAGGCAGAGATATAGAAAGTGACACTTTGTATCCTGACATCCTGAGAGATGCCTAGCCTGTCTTTCTTCCCACCCCTCCCATGTGGGGGAAGCTTGGGGATGCAAGTTGACCTACTATATTAAAGATTCAAAATGGCACAACCAATGTGTGAGTGTATCTCTTCAAAGAAAACTAAGCTGCTGAGAAGCCTATCAGTAGAAGTTCAGGAGGGCCACTTCAGCAATACTTCTCTCACCTCTTTCTACTGTCCCTAGAAAATGAGGAAGATGATGATAGTGGTGGGGGGTGATAGAAAATTTATATAATGCTACACGCCAGACATTCTTCTAAGTATCTTCTCTATATAAGCGCACATAATCCCCACAACAGCCTTATTTAGTAGGTGTTTGAATATATGTGTTTTATAGATGGAGAGATGAGGCACAGAGAAGTTAAGTAATTTGCCCAAAGACACACAGGTAGTAAAATTAACAGAGCTGAGACATAAACCCAGGTAGTCTGGCTCCCGATTCCATATTGTGGAAAGTCTCAAAGCTCAGACTGCTCTGCAGGTCACCAATTGAAGACAGAATGAGGGAAGAATCCAGTTCCCTTGGAGACTTGAATCACCCTTTGCCAAGGGATGCGCCCTCACCCCCAGCTCCTTTGGGAAGCTTTCTCCCTCTTCTGCTTGAGCTTTTAGTATTACTACCCCCAGGGAGGCAGCCCTTCCTCACAATTCCTATATACAATTCAACCCTTTTTTAAAAACTTGTTGATAGATCTTTATTTTTATTTATTTATTTATATGTGGTGCTGAGAATCGAACCCAGTGCCTCACACATGCCAGGCAAGTGTGCTACCGCTGAGCCCCAGCCCCAATTCAACCCTTTTTTATCCTCCCAGTCCCATACTCACCTTAAAACCCATTGGGCGAAGCTTACATGCTATTTCTGCATCATGCAGTGCATCCTCATGAGACTCCAAGGTGAAATAAATTTGAGAACGGTTGCTGTAGAGCAAATGATCATTTGGAGCTGCCAAAATGAGAGAAAAAAAGCCCTCATTAAGAGCCTCCAGCACAAACATAAGTCTTGTAAGAGGGTGGATCTTGAACAAATGACAAGTTATCTAGAATGTTTCTACTGGGGATCAAAAGGGTTAAGCTCTATTTTCAGTCCTATTATCTTCCTGCTTTCAACACATTGCTGGCCACTGTGTCAGAGCTTCCCCAACTTCAAAGAAGCAATTTGCCCCCCTCTCTCAAGGTGTTCTTTAGAGGTTTTGTGATGTTTATGTTGCATTGACCTAGAGGAAATCCTGTTTCATGGCTACACACAGTGAGTGCCTGACAGCCTTGCTTCTGAGTGAGGTATCATCACCAAGGGATCAAGCCAGAGAGAAAAGGGGGATGTGGCCAGATGTGACTCCTGTCCTGACCTTCAGCAAGACAAGTCCCTGTTGGTCTTCTAGGTGGGATGACTGACATTAGCAGCATCTCTAACTTCAAAGCCCAGCATATATGAAGTTTCCAGGAAAATGGAAATGTGTTTATAAGACCTCTTCCTCCCATAACAGATGTCAAATGTGAATGAACCTAGGCAAGGCTTCTGGAAATAAGGTGAAGCTGTGTCTTACCAATGCTTTGAATCACTAGATGCCAGGGCTGAACAGGCTTTTAGAGATCATCTGGCTCAACTGACCCATTCTTCAGATGTGGGAAATCAAGGCCAGAGGGGAAGGCTTCACTCAAGATCATGCACTCAGTTGGACAGAATCATGGCTAACTGACTACACTTCAAAACTTCAAAGCTGGGGTGGGATCAGATTCCTTTTTCTGTAGACAAGTTCAGTATTTAGAATAATAAGACACTGGCCATCTCCAAAACAAAGCTAACCTCTGTAGCTTCCTCTCAGAAGGGTGAAGAGGATATTGATTTTTTTTCCCCAGACTGCTCTGAGGAAATTAGCAAAGGTATAGGGAAGACCCTCCAAGGGAAAGTGGTAGCAGCAACAGTGGAGCCAGAGAGCTGGAAGGGGCTTTCCTTCTGGCCCCTTAGGGAAAGGCTGAAAGGAATGGAACCTCCCTCCCAGATCTGTACTTAAGTCACCTCCACCTGTTTCATTCACGTTGCCCAATTCTTCCCCAAGCTCTGGACTCCAGCTTCTGCTACCGGCAACAGACTTTATGGATTTTCCCAGAAGTATGCTTGGGTGCCCAATTACATGCCCTTATTACATCAGCAAAGAGTTCAGTCTTTTCTGTCCCTCCTGTTGTGCAGCACACGACAGCCTAGTGGCGACTCACAATTTGCCTTGCCTGGACACAAACTTGCTTGTGATGTTGGGGGCGGGGATCTCCTTTTCCCTGGACCACCAGCTTTTGCATGTTCAGCCCTTGTTCCTTTCCGTGCCTGAATTACCTGTTGCATGCTTTAGTGGAGATTCAACATGTGGAGACTCCAGCCCACTCCCTCCTCCACCCATCAGAGTCCTGCCCAGGGCATCCTCGGATCCCAGAGCCCTGTGTACCCTGCCTCCTCCCCGACTTGCTTCGCCAGACACCGCGCCCCGCCGGCAGAGCGGCTGGCAGCCTGCCCAAAATAGGCAATACGGGCCAGCAGCTCAGCGGTCACTTCCTGGGTCCAGACTGGTGGAATCAGAATCACTGGAGCAAAGCATGTCCCCGAAGGAATTCGGGTGCCCTAGTCCAGCTCAAGGTGTGGGACTGCCACGTTGCCCTTGAAGCTGCAAAGCCCACCTAACCCCAGGCAGCTCGGGAAAACGGGACAGAGGCGTGCCTCTTCACAGCCAGCCCGTTTCCCTGGGGTCACCAAGCAGTAGCCTGGTCCCGTCGCCCTCTGGGCTGGTTTGGTTAAAGGGGTTCGAGGTGCCGGTGCAGGCTGCTGGCTGGCGGCTACAGCGGCTGTGGGGGGTGTGGGGGGGGTGCGCGTCTATTTCAGCCAAGGATCGTGTGATAGGAAGCGGTGACAATGAGTCACAGGGCAGCGGGGCGCGAGCGCTCCCCCTCCCCCCGCACACGCTCGCGGGATGGTTTCCGAGGCGAGCGTGGCCCACTTCGGTTACCTCAGCTGTTACACAATCCCGCCCGCCCGCGCGGAGGAGGGGCTGCCCGGCCCGGGCCGCTAGCGGCCCTTATGCAACCAGTGCTCTCCTGACCTAATTCCAGGCCGGACCCACCCCACAGGGAGCCGCGGCCCCGGAAGGGACAACTCCCAGAGGCGGGAGCCGCAGACGCAGGCGCCGACCTGACTTCTCTGGCTGACAAGAGCGGGGAGGACCTGGCGCGAGTGTGGGAAGGGTGCGAAGTTCCCCTCCTAGCAGGGAAGGTGCGGGCAGGTGTAAGAAAGAGCTCAGGCGTGCAAAGGGAGAGGGAGAAGGCGAGAGAGAAATAGAGATGGTGACATTGAGCAAGACAGAAACCGAATGACAAAGATTCAAAGAGACGGAGGAAAAAAGAACAGGGTGACACAGACAGAAACAGAGACGCAGAAACACAAAAGCATACAGAAGACACGGAAAGAGACAAAAAAGCAACAGACAGAGGCACAGCTAAAGAAAGCTAAAAGAATTTTTAAAAGTCCCAGAAATCTCCATCCTGCACACAGGCAGCAGTCCATCCCATTGTCCCCGGCACGCTCCTCTGCCCTGGTCCTTCCCCCATCTCCCTGCTGGGCTCATTCTCCCGCCCCCTCACGTCGTGACCAAGCCCTCGCCCTCGCCGGGGCCCCAGTGGCGTGGTGGACTCACCCAGCCTAACTGCCTCATTGTACTTCAGCAACGCCGCCTCCACCTGGCGCTCACGGTACAGCCGGTTGCCCTCGTGCCGGAGTTTCGATGCCCGTGCAGGGCCCGGAAACAACTTGCCCAGGAGGCCGCTGAGCACCACGTTGACCCGTAACGGCGACGGCGCCTGCTGTCCAGCCCTCCGGGCCCCACGCGCCCGTCCAGAGGCCATCATCAACGTGGAAAGCTTGACCCCGCACAGCGCACAGCGGCGATCGGCTGCCCGCCCACGTTCCAGACACAGTTTACAAAAGGTGTGGCCGCACGACAAGGACACGGGGTCTGACAGAAATCCATGACACTTCCGGCACTTAAAGCCGTCCCACACCTCGGTGGCCGCTGCCGCCCCTGCCTCTTCCGCCGCCACAGTGCAGCTTGTCGCGCTACTCGCCGAGGGCGCCGGCACCAGTGCCTCATCTTGCGGGATGCTTTTGGCCAGGCAGCGCGCCAGCTGCTCCAGCTGCTCGGCCACCAGCAGCTGCCGCTCGGAGAGCTGTCTGTACACCTCGAGAGCTTCCCGGAGGCGCCCACCTGACGCCAAGGCGTCCGCCTGTGTGAGCAGGACTTTGCACTCCTGGAGCGTCGAGTTCCTCGGAGTCTGCTCTTGCTCTGGCTCCCGCGTCGGTAGAGGTTCCGGACTCTCTGTAGCCTCCTCCGGGTGGGGACCGGTGTCTACTCCGGCAGCTGATGCTGCCCGATCCACCGGCTCCGACTGCTGTAAGTTGCTGCTGCCCAGCTCGGCGGGCAAGCTCAACATCTGTTCACTCTGAAATGAATCCATACGGAGAAGGACCGCGCGGGGAAGAGGCGTCTAGGGACCAGGAATACGGAGCAAGGAGTCGCGCCTGGAAAGAACTGAGACTGCCACTGCCGCGGTGCCACCACGCACCGGCCCCTGCCGCTTCTCCGCCAGCTCCATGCCGGCCGCCCCGAGCCGCCTAATAACTGTCTTGTCTCAGCAAAGTGTTATATAAAACGGTACCACGTGACTCCTCACCACGCTGCTCATTGGCCGGCAGCGGGGAAATTGTTACAAAACCAGACAGTTTTGTAACAGTGTTGCGCTTGCTTCTTTTGGCTTCGCTTTTCTTGGCTTCTTTTTGAGGTTGTTTGTGTTTACACTCTGCCTAATTTCCCACTTGCAACTTGGCTTCTTTTGGAAGGGGGAGAGGAACCCAACTTCTTCTCTCAAGCTTCTCCATCTCCAAACCCCACCCCATCCTACCTCCAAACTGGCCAGCAAACAGGTTCCCTCTGCCAGGCGCTCACTACCGCTCACCCCCGCCCGGTCCCTTCGTGGAGAGCAGGTACCTCCAGGCGCGGTCCTCGGGGTCTTCTAGGACGTGGAAAATGCTCCCTACTGGGCCATCGGCTGCTGTCTCTGAAGGGACGTGGGTAGTAGGGAGGCATATCGGCGAAGTACCCCCACCCTGGGGCCTCTGCCGGAGATCCCTAGAAGACCCACCAGAGCTCCTTGCCTTTCTCAGGGGACTCCCTCAAGGTGGTGAGTGCAGTTTCCCGAGGGCACTTGGTCTTCGGTGCTGAGAGCGACTTGGAGCAGAGTGTCCGGCGGATACAGAAGTTGGGCAGCGCTCGCTGGGCAGTGAGGGACGCGCGGAGATGTGCTTACTGGCTTGCACCCCAGAAGAGGCACCCCACCACCCCTTCTCACCTCTTTGTCCCCAAACGCCAGAACCAGCGCTGGGGACGGGGGTCGGATGCCTCTCTGGAGAAGCACCGGGCCCCCGGAGTTACTGGCCAGATGGGCGCGGCCACTAGAATGGCCTGCTGAGTTCGGTGGGTACTTTGGGGTCCTGGGAGAACGGCAGACAGAAGACTCAAGCCCCGAGCGCTAACTCGGGAGAGTGTGAATCCTGGAGCGGCCAAGCGGCCTCCAGGTTCACCGCTCCTGAGCGCTCCTGAGCACGTCACAGTGTCGGGCTGTACAGCAGAGGTAGGGCTGGGCACAAGCCGCAGGGCCTGCCTCACAATGGTTAGGGTGCCCCGCAGGTACCAAGCATACCTCCAAAAGTACTGAGTGGTAGCCAACTGCACACGCTTTGTCTCCCGACCAACCCCGACATTTCAGACGGGAGCCACACGCACGAATGAGCAGATATAGGCTTGGAGACCTAAAGGAATAACGCATTTCCAAAAGTCAGTCACGCTGCTCCAAGCTGGGAGGCAAGACCTGGGCTTGCCTGTGGCTCAGCCAGCCTTCAGAGCCTGCTGATCCTTGGCAACACCAGAAGCAGGAGTTGGAGCAGAGTGCCGCAGCAGGGGCTCCTGAGGTGTCCATTTCCTATCTGGCTGACCTTGGGCATATCACCTAAACTCTGGGAGCCATCATTTTCACTTCTGAACAAAAGTTAGGGATGATTTAGTCGGGATTAAATAATATTTCAGAGCTGAGGACAGCAGACTCCGTGGGGCTCTGCACCTCTTTGTGTGATTAATCCCACCATGACTCAACACCAAGGTTCCAGAGAACAGATACTGCGCAGGGAGCCCTAGAGCCTCTCTCTGGTAAGACAAGAATAGAGGGACAGAAGGGAAAGGGGAAGTAGTGCATAGACAAAAGAGAAAACAGAGGGACTCAGAATATCACCAGGAAGACGTGGCGAACACAAGAAATTTTGGCTTGAAGCTCTGTTTTTTTCATAACTTACTATGAGACCTTTGGCAAATCCTCTCAGTCTTAGTTTTTCTTAATCTCTAAGGTACCCTCCAGCCCTAACCTTGAGTGGTTTTGATCCCAAAACCAGATTTCAGGATGCTAACTCAACTTCTTAAGTACAAATGATTAGACCAGAAGCTGTGGGTGGTGCTGGGATTCAGGGTTACAGTTAGCAGCAGTTGTGGAAAGGCAGCAGTAGCTGGAAGGCTGTCCTCTTAGCCAGGGTCAAGCCTGAGCTAGATTTTGAGGATAGGGCAATCAGTCAAGGGCCAAGAAAACGTGGACAAGGTGACTATGCCAGGCAGTCAGGGAAAAGATGGAGCTTCTCGTGACTTGCTGTCTGACTGAGGAGCTCCTTTCACCCCTCAGTTTTCCTTGCTGTCAAATGGGATCCCTAACACTCAGACACCTGTAGGAGGGACAGTCTGTGGGGCAGATAAAGAGATTTAAATTGAAGGGCCATGAGATAGATAATGATTAAAAAAAAAAAAAAAACCTTGAGAGATTTATCCTTTTGACATGTCTTCAAAAACCAATGTTATCCAAACTGTCTTCCAGGTGCAGATCTGTGATATACCTTGCTTTCTGGACCACCTTGACAAGTGAGCACCTCTTGTATTGACCACCCTCCTTGCCCTGTTGATGAATGGGGAAACAAAAAGGACAGGTCAAGCAGAAGGTCACAGTCCCGCAGTCATGGAGAAGAGATGTGTTCTCCAGGCAGCCTCTCTTGGCAGCTGTATATGTAAGAGACTGACCATGAACTTGGTCAGGAATGTTAATAGCTGTCAGGGAAATGAAGGGTACGCTGGTGCCAAAGGTAGCACCACCTACTCACTGACCAGATTCCACAGGGAGTTTGATGTTGTATTGTAATCAGGACTGTCTGTAGGGGCACACCAAGTAAGTTTCTATTGAATTCTAGAAAACTTGACCACTTTACTTAAGTTAAACAAACATTACCTTGATAAACATTTGTGACCAACTCTGAAATGTTACTCAAAAATTCCTCCTTTCTGCTCTTACTAATTGGAGCCCCTGGAGGAAGGGCAGAGGAGAGATTGGCATCTTTTCTTAAGATGCAAATATTCCTTAGAAGCCCAGATTCCTTAAACTTCCATTTTTTTTTGTTGTTGTTGTTAAGATCGTGGGTGGATAAGGTGAACCTGGAAGAAGGAGCTAGAGATGAGTTACCCCTTATTTCCACTGACTACACAGCAATAATTTTTTCAATTGGGTTCTGAGAAACCTCTCTGGTGCCCAGAGGAGAGAGCAGGAAGGACTCAACCTTAACTCTCCTCAACTAGGGCAGTATTGTATTCATTTCATGTAGTGAGCTTCCAGGTACAATTTCATTAAGAAGAGATTTTTCCCTTTGAAATAAAAAGTTTGAAAGTCATGGAAATTTTCGCCTACTTTCATACATTTGGTGAGCATCATCTATGGACCAGACACTACTCTTGGTACTGGAGATATGTTAAAGCAGCACTTAGCTCCCAGGTCATCCCTCACAGAAGATAGCATTTCTTTTCCCCACACATTCTTCTACTGGCTTCCCATGTAAACTAGATGCTCCATGAAGGCAAGGACTGGTATGTCTGTCCTTCATCTCCTCCTCAGAGGACAGTGGACATGGCAGTGGACATTCTGGCCCTGGCTAGTAGTATGCAGAGAGGAAATCCAGCTAAAATGTAGCTTTTCCCTGGCTCATTCATAGTTGAGATAGTGGGTGTGCGTATAATAAATGGCTGACAGTCCCATACACTAAACAATTCTGGGATGGAAGAGTCCAGTTAAAACCAGAAACTTGGGGGTGAGGAGTGAGCAACCTCTCTCTCTCTCTCTCTCTCTCTCTCTCTCTCTCTCGATGGAAACTTTCCCAAAGCATGCACTTGCTCTCTATTTGAGTTTCTCATTTCATAAACTGGGATCAATTTGTAGTCCTTACAGGAAAAAAAAAGGTATCATGGGCATTAAAAAATTCACGTAGGAAAAAAGACTGCCCCTTGCCATAGAGTGTAACCCAAATCCAGCACTAACAGAAAGTTTACTCAGTAGCCCAGGTTTCACAGATGAGGCAACTCAGTGCCAGAGAAGGCCAGTGACTTGCTGCATGTTGCAAAGGGAGTTTGTGACATGGCCAGGATTGGAAGCTAGGGCTCATCTCTTTGTTTAGTTTTTTCCCCCAAGTAATCAAAAGCCTCCAAAGCACGCAGAACATCCCTCCAAATAAGTAAGAAATTATTTTAGAAATTGCACTTACAAGATTTCCATCAATTCAACAAATGTTCATTGAACATACACTGTGTACTAATGGAGCTGATATTTGTGGAGCAATGATAGAAAGATATAGCACAGTCTTTATCCTCCAGTAGCTCACTGAGTAAACAAGAGGCAAAGATTTGAAACAGATAAAAATAACAGGCACTATGTGATAAGTGCCAAAATTGAAAGAATAGTGTGTCCAAGGAAGTACTCAAAGTCAACAGTCTGTGATGCTTCCCAGCTTATAGCGAAGGTGACTTTAAGTTAGGCGAGAGGGTATTTAAGTAGCTGCTGCTCAATTCAAGGGGATTTCCTAATACATTGGGAGCTAGGTGGCTTGGAGAAAGGAGGAGAATTTCAAGCAAGTAAGCTAGTTCTTAGCCTCAGAATTTTTTTTTTCAGTGTTTGCAATCAAACCCAGGCTTTTCACATGATAGGCAAGCACTATATCACCAAGCTACCTTCTCAGCTATGGAATTTGTACTGTTAATGGATCCTCACATGATCATGGTGCTTAGCTAGGTGTGGTGTCCAGTTGTATAAAGGATGATGGAGAGTAGATTAGAGTGCTATACACCAATCCATCTCTTCCTTCCTTATCCTCAGTTTCTCTAGGGTAGGAACATCAATAATTCTTCTCTCAATTTTGCTGAAAAGCAAGTTGAGAGTCCAGAGACTTTCACAGATGTGCCCAAGGTCATTCTTCAACTAGAGGTCACTCTGGTCTCCTACCAACCAGTAGAAACAGAAAGATGGCAAAATATCATCCCAAGGAATATTTGCTTCACTTCTCTGCAAGACAAGTCTGACCCACTTGGTTAGCCAGGGAGTCTGTTGCCCAAAGTACAAAAAGGAACAAATCTGTGGAACTGCCAGGTGTGTAGAACAGAGCCCAAGGCGAGGTTAGTCCCTGGGAGTGCAGTGGCACCCCCTTTCTCCACAGAAAAGCCCTCTTCACCATGGCTGATTTTAGGACTGTCAGCAAAAGAGTCCATTGTAGATAAACTTCCTATTTTCATGTTGCCCTGTTTACTTGGCCACTGGCCGAGAAGATACTAGCACTCCAGGTGCTGGACACCCCCTTACTAGTTTTTCATAAACGTATCCAGTATAGTACTTTGAAGAAATGTGCAAACAAGGCCTCTGGCCTTGAGCTGGGGCTTCACAGAGATGTCTACATTTTTAAGATAAGTTACAAATGGGTTCCATGGTAACAGCTGGCAGGGGGAGGCTAGAAAGAAGAGAAGAAGCTCTCCCCTTCTCAGGTGTTGTCCTTGAAGAGTTAACATGCCCAGAACAGTGAAAGAAAAAGCTGCTTTTATGTGAACTTCTGCGGACTGTGAACTTCTGAGCCCCTCCCCTTACATGCTGGGTATAAAACTCTGAAACTCCCTGAACTCAGAGTTCAGGGGATTGATTGATTACAGCAAAGGCTGAACCCTCTGAACCTGGCTGCAGCCAAATAAAACTGTTTCCTGCTATCTTCGGTGCCTTGCCTCATTTGTCCCTATAACAGGAGCTTGGAGTTCTAACTTTGCGATGTGATTCAGCCCAAGCCACTTAACTTCTCTATGTCTGTTCTTTACCTATTAATAACAATGCACAGCGTCTTTGTTAGGATTAGCTACAGTATTGGAAAATGCATAGTGCCGTTAGTCCTGATGTGATTCCTAGGAACAGAAGGGATCCACAGCCATCTGCCAATAGTTATGAGTAAAATATGTGCTAGCTGCCCTCAAAATAAGCATTTGCTTCTGAAAAACCAGCCTCTACCTCAGAGCAAAGCCTGTCCAAGGAAGGGCCATGAAAAGATAATTTCGGTTTTACTATAAATTACTGCAAATTCTGAACCTGCTTTGAATGCCTGCCTGTGCCTTGAACTCACCCATGCCTGGCTCTCTGACCAGATAGTAGCCCTCTCTGAAACCTTAGTGATGCCTCACAAATCTTGGCCTTCCCTGGCCAGATAACGACCCTCTCTGAGGCTCTAATGGTCCTCATAAATTCTGATTTTGGGGCCAGCAAAAAATGTAAACTACCATTAGTGTGATGCTTGTCAGAGTTCTGTTATCTGTAACTTTCTGGGCTATAAAGTTGGGCTGCAGGAAAGCTGCTGTGGCTGTCTTGTTTCCCACCGTTTTGGGTGGGAGAGGCAGCCCGGCCGGTCGAAATAATAAGCTTGCTTCAATTTGATTTTAATTGGAGTCAGTGGTCTTTTCTTGCATCCTGGTCTAACATTTTGGGGGCCCCAGCGAGATGACCCTGCCAGACCAGATCACAAGACCAGACTGCTGGAAATTCTAAAGCCGGCCTTCGCTCCAAGGCTCCAGGCTGGAGAGCCACTCTAGGGGGTGCGCACCTTGAGACGTTCCAAGGCCCCAGGGTGAGCCTTTGGTCCCCGGAGCACTGCAGTGAACTGCCGCACTAAAACTATTAGCAAGCACCTGGTGGAGGAGGCCTCCATAGGTAAGTGGTGCCTTTATAACATCTGGTATCTGGTTAAGGGAGATCTCTTCTGAAGACAGAGAGGTGGCTTGGCGAGGCTCACATATTCTCCTGTCCGGGACAATAACAAGAAATCGTTCTGTCCTCTGTTCTGTAGGGAATTTCTCTGGAAGGGTAGAGAGGTGCCAATGGGCACGCATGCGCTTCTACCCCAGGAGCTTTAGCAAGATGTTGCATTGCTCCTCTGTTTTTCTGTTTCGATGCCGGGTTTCTGTTTTCTTGTGTTTTGTTCTGTGTTCTATATGTTTTTTGTTTGTTTGTTTTTGTGCCTTTTGTTGTGTGACTTCTGTGGTAAAAACTTAAGGATATTGGACGTGAAAATGGGTAATAAAGCAAGTAAGCCTGACACCCCTTTGGACTGTGTTTTAAGGAACTTCGATGAACTTTACCCCCCTTTGTTAAGCAGGATGAGAGAAGCTCCTAGCTGGCTGCTGGAGCACACCCTTGCAGACGGCAATGCCTGCTGGGGATCTAAGAACTGAGCAACTCCCAGATTAACAAGTGAAACTCCTTTAAAACCCCTTGCCCCTCCAGATCAAGAGAGTCACAACCTTTGGGGCAGAGTCCCCTGTGTTTCTCCTTTGTTAGCAAAGCAATAAACCTCCCTTTTTCTTTTTTCTCAAAACCCTGTCCTCATTATTAAATTGGCATTAATTGGCTTCGAGGACAGGAACCGAACTTTCAGTTACAAATTTTGACACCTCAGGGAACTTTAAAGGAGCCCCCAAGGAACTTTTTGAGGGCTGACTACTGAAATGTTAGGAGATATGGAGCGTGCCTGGGTGGAACCGAACCATAGGAGCTAATCCTGTAAGTAAAAGGAGGGACTGAGGGACTCCCAGCAGCCCTATTGCTTCGGGGAATTCCTGCCTTCCTTCCCTGCACTGTAAGGATTATGCCACCTCTGTCTACTTAAAAAAAAGAGAGAAAAAGGAAAAGGGAACACTAAATGCAGTAAAATCGCCACCAAGACCCTTGATTTAATATTTCAAGTTGCCCCTCTGTGAAAACATCTGGTCCACTCATAGGGACATCTATGGTGCCACTGGTGTAGGAGTCAAATGGGAGTTAGAAAATTGGGGAGATTTTTCTCTTATCTGCTCTGTTTTAAAGGTTCCTGTCAGCCATAGTCTGGAGCTCCTTTCTGTCTGTCTGTCCTGTGTCTTTGTTTGTTTCTGGCCCTTTAAGACATGCACAATAATGTGTTGATATTATAAATTGTTTCTTGGGAATGATCTTGGCTGAATGTGTGTCTAAAAGATGATGTTTTATTGTAACAATCTGGTATCTGAATGGGTTTTTGAAGCATTGCACAATGTTGCAGTTAAAAGTTGGGTTTAGGTAATTGTTTAGTTTATGATTTCAGATAATTCATGCCACAGAACTTAAATACTTAGGATGGAAAACTAAAGAACTCTACTTCCAAGTTGGAAAGTGACTCCCCAATCATTCAGTTTTTTTTCACCAATTTTTGAATTGGGTATCCTGGGAAGATGTCACTATGTGTACCAGTGTGTTAATTTGGACAAAGATAGTAAATTATAGTATGGTATCTCTTCCCCTCAGTGTGTAGGACTTGGGAATGGAAGTGTTGGATTGGGGGTTGGTCTAGCTTATCAAAATGACGTT